GGGTGTTATGTAATTTAAAATAGAAAATGGCCAGGCATGGTGGTGTACACCTTAATCCCAGCTACTCTGGCGACCTGTAGGATGGTGGTTGAGGCCAGCCTACACAAAGTTAGCGCAGGACCCGTATCTGAAAACCAAACTAAAAGCAAAAGGATGGGGTGATGGGGAGGGTGGGGTAGCTCAAGTGATAGAGCAAGTAGAAGGCCCTGAATTCAATCCCCAATAAAAGGGGGGGGGTGTATGTGTGTGTGTTCACTTTAGGTATGGTTTGGGGAGTTTCAGTCCATAGTCAATTGGCTCCATTGTTTTGGGTACCATGGCAAGGCAGAACATCATAGTAGGGAGCACATGACATGCGCAGGCCTTATGGTAGCCAGAAGGGAAGGAGTCAGGGAGTGGGGGTCCCAATATTCCCTTCAAGTACATACCCCCAAAGAGCTAATTTCATTATACCAGGCCCTACTTCCTAAAGGTTCCACCACCTTCCAACAGTGCCAATTTCAGGGAACCAAGCCTTATATCACATGACCTTTGGTGGACATTTAAGATCCAAACCATAAGAGGGCATCTTGAATGGTATCAAGGTGGGCTAGTACCAGCAGGAATTATAATTCTGCCTTGACCTGATGTTTTAGCCCACATGGTTAAACCTTGATGCTTATGCAAAAGTTAAAAAGGCAAAATTAAGGGTTAGGGGTTGTGGCTCAAGTGGTAGAGCACCTGCCTACCATTCATGAGGCCTTAAGTTCAAACCCCAGTACTGCCAAAAAGCAAGAAAGAAAAAAAAAAAATATGACACTAGTAGTATATGAAAAGCAGTGTTTTAAGTGGCCAATATTCTTTACCTTTTTTTGGAGACAGGGTCATGTTATGTAGCACAAGCTGGCTTTGAATTTGTGATCCTTCTGCCCCAGCCTCCTGACTGCTGGGATTAAAGGGGTGGGTCTTCATGACCAGCTACTGCTTTACTTAATTTTTAAAAATCTTTTCTTCACAGAAATTTTTATGCACAAAAATGATGAGAACTGGGCTGGAGGCGTGGCTGAAGTGGTATAGCGCCTGCCTCACATAGTGAAGCCCTGAGTTCAAACCCCTGTACCACCCAAAAATCCCCAAATAAAACAAAAAATGATGAGAATAGTAAAATGGATCCCCATTCACCCATTACCCAGTTTTAGCAATTATTAACAATCTGCAAATCTTGTTTCACCTATCATCACTTTCCTTTACAAAGAGATAAAATATTCTAAAGCAATCTCAGGTATTCATAAAGACATTTTTAAAAAGTATCACCAAAATATCACTATCACATATAAAGTGAAAAATTCCTTATCATTTAACTTCATTTTTACATGAAAAGAAAACCACCTCAATTTTTTACACCTGGTTTGATCTAATCAGAATCTAAATGAAGTCCACAGTGTTGGGATACATGTGTCTTAGACCTCCGGAGCTTTTTGTAACAGTTCCCGTCTTTTTTTATGTTTTCTTTCTATGGACTCTCTCTCATCCCAGATGTGGTTGACTGCATGCTTGTAGTATCATTCATCCTGTTCCTGTGTCCTATGAAGAGAGTCAGGCTCAATGGAGTTCTGCGTATTTCCTTTTACATCTCAGCAGCAGTGCTAAGTGGCACTCTACAAGTTATCCTCAGCCTGATCCACCCATTGTAATGCTTCCCTCATCTTTCACACAATGGCGGAAGGAAGTAGCCCAGTCTCCACGGTAGCCATGGCATCCTGAATGACACGAGGATTTGCACCTGAAGTCAATAAAAAGACCTCCCTTTCTAACCCCTGAAACATCCTTAACAGCACCCTTCGGAATTCATGGCTACATATCTGCAAATGGCCTTTTATCCTTAACTTCTCTGAGAGTGGCTTTTTTCCTTACTTCACCTGAACTCTGGGTCTCATCTGTCACCCCTCAATACTGCAGGCATCAGTGCTACCCTCTTCCTTGCCCACTTCGTCTGACTCCCCGGAAGATTTTAAGCTTGTGTCTCACCAACACTCTCAAAAGCATGCCTGTCCTAACACACAGGAAGAACCCATCATGACCCCAGCCTGGGTAGCTGGTCCTTCTACCTTCAATGCTTTTACTTACCACTCCACTGCAGCCAATCACTCCAATGGCTGTCCCTTGTCATCCCAGCAAGGACAACAGTCCATAGGGCAGCTTTAAACACCCCACTCTTGGTGAAATGGCTCAAGTGGTAGACAGCCTGCCTAGCAAGTATGAGGCCCTGAGTTCAAACCTCAGTACCACCAAAAAAAAAAAAACAAGACACCCCACTATGTTTCTCCACTTAGCATTCTGCCAATCTGACTCCAATAATGTTTTGGCCCAAAATACCTCCCACAACTTATCACTACCAAATTACCTGACACCCTGCTAGCTATATACACAACATGCAAAGGCTAAAGTTCACCCAAAGATGGTTCAACAAAACAAGTAGCAACACACCTATACAAGACAAGAAACCTACCTGGGGTGGGAAAAAAACCTACCTCAGCTGGAGTCAGCTCTGCTCACACGTCAGAAGACCACTCTAAAAACAACTGAAAGAGGATTTTGTGGTGGTATAGCTACTCTACCTGTCCTGGATTACCTCCTCATTATCACAACCCACCAGAAACCAAAGCAGAAGATGAAAGAAAACAAAATAAAAACAAACCAAAACCCGAATACAGTCAATTCTCCCAATTCAAGTCCAGAAGATTCCACAATACCATCAACGGGGACTAACATCTCTGGAAGCAGATATATTAGATAGCAAGTCCTTCCTTATGAAACTAGCTTAAGTGACCTGACAGTCAATAGTGTGATTTCCTCTGAAACACTTACAGAAGAAGTCTTTATATCCAAGGCACCACAAACCCAAAGGATATGGAACTTAAAACCTCCAACAAAAATGTAGGAGACAGGACAACCTGATCCCAATTCAAGGTATAAGATGCGAAGGGCACTTGCCTATGAGCTAAATGGTCAGAAAAAAAATCTCAGGAAGATACACCTGAGAAGAACCCGCCTGTGCTGCTGACCCTTGTAACTCTTCCATCATTAGTAAGTAAACCTCGGAAACCAGAGCAAACCTCTTCACTGAGTACAGATAACTAAAACTTAGAAATCTTGTTTTAGGACTAAAACAAGTCCTTTGTTTGTTTTGGTTTTGTTTTTTTTGAGACAGGGTCTCACTTTGAAGCCCAGACTGGCCTGGAACTCACTATGCAGCCCAGGCTGGTGTCGACCTTGAGATCCTCTTTCTTCAGTTTCCCAGAGTGCTGGGATTATAGATGTGTATCTGGCTCGTTAAGCATGTGAAAATGAAAAGGACTTAAGAAAATTACAACCAGGATCTGATTTATGAGCTGTTCTTAAATTTTATTTATCAGCATCTAAAAGAACCTTTATTTCATTTTCTGAACCAAACGTTAATAAAATACCAGCCATAGAATACAGTAGAGAGCCATAGCCAAGAAATACCTAGTAACTATTACAGAATTTATAGTACTCATAAGAAAGGAGAGGTTTCTCAAACAACTCTTAGTGCCAATCTGTAAAGCTTTTCAATATCTTGAAAGCATCTTCATCAAGCTATAGATAAAGCTGAAGACAACTAGATGTTAGCCAACAAGCAGGGACGCACTTGACTAGACCTTGGCAAAAAGCTGCCAGTTTCCATCTCCTTATGCAAAGATCACGCTCAAATGATGGAAACTCCAGGCTGAGCAAACTTCTGACCCAAAATGACTTCATGGAAGGAAATGTCATGATTTTATGCTTCAAAGAAAATTATCCAGCATTCTCACGGGAAACTTTTAGAAACATTTGCATTATTTGGAGAGATGAGAAAATCAACAAAATATTATAGAAAAATCAGATACATCTACTGTTGACAAAATCATACCTGCCATACTACAAATAATCCATTAACACTAAAACCTAATCATCAAGTAATCAAAATTCAATTATAATCAAAGTCAGCAAGTAGTCATGTAAGTAGGTTGCCTACAATTCAATGGCTCCCTCTTTGAAACCTTTTGATAAGATAAACACGGGGCAATCTAATTTCGGATAAGTTTGGCAATCCGAATACTGCCAATGGTTAATACTCTCAGTCACAGGTGCCTGGCTCAGTATCCAAAGCAGAAATACCCACATCAGTGAGAGAGGTATCAGAAAAAAGTTTCTCAGCTTAGAATCCCCATACTGTTCCAAACCTTGACGTTTTTACAAGCCACCTCCCAGTAACGTAAAGGAAAAAGAACTGTCCCCCACTGCTCCCAACACTACCTTTAGCCAACTGGTCTCGAGAAAACTGAGAAACTGCATTAGAGGCAGCAAAAAATGGCTCTGTGGAGCTGGCCACACACCTCGTTGGAGAGTAAGACCAACACAAGTACAATAATCTGAAGATCTGGAAGATAAACTCCCCAAGTGTACACAGAGTTGCTATGTTTATTCTTGGTTTTTTTTTTTTTTTCTTTTGCTGTGTTAATTGCAGACTATTTTTGTAGGACTACTTCTGTGTTTCAATGAAATTGTATTTTATATTTTAAACTTTGAGGGAGGATATTATCAACATAATGAAATTGAACTGATAATTTTCAGAGCTAGATTCTCTCCCAATAACCTACCATTAAAGTGGGTGCAAGTTTCAGTTTATGTGGAAACAGAAAGTTTCTGAATGAAATGGTTAAAACAGCCATTTCTAAAATAAAGATAAATGTTAAAAAAAAAAAAAAAAAAAAAAAGCAGCAGCAGCTAGGCATGGTGGCTCAAGCTCTAACCCTAGCTACGTGGAAGGGCCTCAACAGAAAAAGCTGGATGTGGTGGTCCATGTCTGTCAGCCCAGCTACTATGGGAAGTATGAAATAGGATCACATTCCAGGCCAGCCTGGATAGAAAAAGCAGGACCCTATCTCCAAAATAACCATAGAAAAAAGGGCTGGAGGTGTGGCTCAAGAAGTAGAGCACCTGCTCGGCAAGAGCAAAGCCCTGAGTTCTAACCCTAGTACTGCCAAAAGAAAAATAAAACAAAAAAAAGAGTAAAAGCCGGGTAATTTCTTTTAATATTTGTGCTGGGCTGCAATGTAAGATTTTTATCTCACTCTTACCCCAGGCCTGTTCTACCCACATTTCTTCCCCTCACAGTAAGTGACAACTCCAATGGTCTTAATGACTTTGCAGGTCATCAATCCTAAAGTGGACCTTCACTTTCACCCTCCTCTCCTCTCAGTCATTCTTTTACCATGTCCAATCTCTTCTGTCCATCTCCATTGCTACCATCATAGATCAAACCATCAGCATCTCTCACTTGAGTTATAACAAACATACACGTTCATCTTGTACCCATGCTTGCCGGTCAATTCTCCAGAGGCCAGAAGGATCCTTTTGAAACAGAAGTTGGATCACATCATTCCTCTGCCCAAAACACTCCAAAAGCATTACACTATCTGACCTCATCTACTACTTTCTCTGTTCATTCTGATGCTGTGATCCTATTCCTGCAACATGGAAGGTACTCTTCTGCCTCAAAGCCTTTTCCCTATTTGTTGGTTGTGCCTGGAATGTTCTTCCTTCCTGATATGTACATAACTCAGCTTCTTTGTTTGATTTTTTTGAGACAGTCTCACCAGGTAGCTCAGGCTGGCCTCCAACTTCCTAAGTAGCCCAGAATGGTCCTGAACTCATAACCTTCCTGCCTCTGCATCCTGAATGCTGGGATTATAGGCACATGCCACAAAGCCCACCATGACTTAAGCTTCTTCAAGCAGTTGCTAAATATCACCTCTCAGTGTGACCTTTCTAAAACTATCTTCTAAAATTTCAACCCCCTACCACCCCAGGTATTCTCTTTTCTCAGTATTAGTTTTCTTCATAGATTTTTCTCATCTCCTGAGACAATTTTACTTATTTTGTTTAGGGCCTTATCTTTTATTCAAATGCACTCTACAGAAAGGCAGTAATTTGTTTTGTTCACTGCTATACTACCAGCACCTAATATACTGAAATATTTGATGAATAAATGAAAATGTTAAACAGCTGAATGTGAAATACATGATGTGAACTAAGAAGTCACAGCTAAAGATGAAATGGGAGTGCGTGACACCCAACCACTGATGCACACAAGGACAGAATTGTAGTAACTAATTATATTAATGGCCAAATTAATTCTTACGAGTGAAACTCCCTTACATATACACCACGGCGTTACAATCAAATGATTTCAGAGGTGTTTTTGGCATGTACAAAGAAAGCAAAAATGATTTTCCCAAGTTTTTCCAGTGTCTTTACACTCACAAAAAGATTATGGAAGTTCACCACATTTAAGTATTTATGATACTTCTGAAACATATTTGTAGGAGAAGAATATAAAAATAAAAATGTGTAAGTTATTCATTAAAATAGTACCTTAAATAAATCTTTTGTCAATACCAGTCAGTGACTGAATCTGGACACTAGAGCTTCAGGCTTTTGGGGTTTTTACATAATTATGTGGAACACACTTGAATCAGTCTTCACAGACAGTGCCGTAAAAACAGTTTGGTTAAAATTAAGAAGCCATCTTCCAGCTGCAAGTTCAGGTAAAAAAAAACATAACAGTTCTCATTCTATTTGCCTTTTTTTGCCTTGGCTGTCTTTTCCTTTCTTTTTTTCACATGTTTAGGAATTTTGTTTTTTCTTTTCTCTCTCTGGGCTTCCTTGACCATCTTTTTTCTTTCCTGTAAAAATCAAACAAAAAATCCCCACAAAATTTCATTCAGAGTATATTATTATCACAACTAAATAAAAGTTGGTATGTAAAAGGATAAAACTAACATAAAAATATGAATTATAGGTTGGTGGTAGAACTTGGGGGTAAAATTTGTCTTTCACACTGGGCACTAGATGCTCAAGCCTGTAATCCTAGCTATATGGGAGGCTCAGATTGGGAGGATCGTGGTTTGAGGCCAGCATGGGCAAACAGTTCATGAGACCCTGTCTCCAAAATAACCACAGCAGGGGCTGGAGGTGTAGCTCAAGTGGGAGAGCACCTGCCTAGCAAGTGGGAGGCCCTGAGTTCAAATCCCAATACTGCCAAAATAACCAGAGCAAAATGGACTGAAGGCATGGCTCAAGTGCAGAGTGCCTGCTTTGCAAACATGAAGCTCTGAGTTCAAACCCCAGTCACCACTGCCCCCCCTCCCCAAAAAAAAGTGTCTTTTAGCTTTCTCTTTCTTTTTTTGCAGTATTGGAAACTGAATCCAGGGCCTCACAAAAGCTAGGTAAGTACTATACCAGCCCTTAAACTTTCTTAATAGAAATTTGTAGGTGTTACTAAATGTTTACAAGTTACATATCTTAACAGAAATAAAGGCTGGAAAGAGAAAATATTCTTTCTAGTAGACAGAGATAGAGACAAGAATAGAGTATGTCCTCTCTCCATACAATGTCTAAGGAATAACTTACATCAGTTTCTAATGCTACCCCCAAAACAAAGAATATACTTAGCTACTGAAAACTATATAGAGGCACTAACAGCTACTGCAATCTAGCTCGATCCCTTAAGCAAAGAGAAACGAGAGTAGCTGCTATCATACTGAAGTCTTGGCCAACCTTTTTATCGATGTTAGGGTCAGTAGTATGTTTTCTGCAGTGGGCATGGTCTCCCTGTTCCTCAGTGTCTGTGTCAGAGCACTCAGAGTGTCCAGGATCTTCTGAATCAGAACAAATCTGTCCCTTAACTTTATTTTCTAGAAGTGCAGGAACCTTGAAATCATTACAGAAATATTTGAAAACAATTAGTGAGCTATTGTTATTAAACATTTTAATACCAGAATTTAGACTTCAGCCTTACAGATAAATTATAAATAATAATAACATCTTGCACTAAAACATCAAGTTGACATCAGGAAGAAGGATCACAAGAAACCATTCTAGCAGGGCTCAAGAACACTCAAATAAAGGAACTACGGCTTTATGGGTGACCTGGATCAACAACATAACTGTGCTGCCTCTTTCAGCAAGTCCGGAGGTTGGGTAGGATTTGGAAGGATGTAAAATATACACAGAGGTCAAAAATAAGGATTTATCTGGGTAACTTTACAGCTCTTTCCTATGAATCACAAACAAAAAAGCTAATCTAATTCAGAGAAATGGTAATATTCAACCAAGAGATATCTTCACTTTTCTTGAAATTTAGCAGTTACTTTTAAAAGACAGGGTCTGGCATCTGGGACCTCAACTCCTGGGCTCAAGTGACCCTCCTGTCTCAGACTCCCCAGGAACTGGGACTGTAAGCTATGTGTTACCCTGTCCCGCTTTTTAAGTAGCAGGAAGCAGTTTTTAAAAGAGGGGGTTTACTTTTAGGACTAGAGGTATGGCTCAAGTGGTAGAGTGAGTGCTTTGTAAGTGTGAAGCCCTGGGTTCAAACATCAGTCCCACCAAAAAAAAAAAAAAACAAAACAAAATTACATAAGAAGGTTCCTTTTTATAAAGGAAACAAGACAAAAATATTTTCTACCTAGTTATAACAAAATCTTCATGCTCTGAAATTTAAATCACAACTTTCTCATAATACATGCTATATCTAACTGAAAAATACAAAATACTGGAATTTCTCCAATTCAGTTCTTCACACAAAACAGCCAATTTTCAAAAAGCAAACTGTGATCCTGCACTGAAGACTTTTATTAAGAAGATTAAAAACAAAAACTTCTTTATTACTGCCTAAATTAGAATTACTTAATCCTTACCCTTCTAAAATCTGAAACAAAGGGAGCACAACAGGAGTCCAGTCAGTAAGATTGCTGAACTCAAGAGACTGTTCTTCAGTAAGGTATACACTGGCATGACACCACATTCCACATTGTTTTTTAAAAACTGATTTCAAAAACTGAGAGTCATGTGGCTATTATTAGTAATTTCACAAATGAAAGAAGACTAGGATACAAAAAAATGATAAAAGTATCACCTATAAAAACAGAGTAATTCAAGGAGAGATGAAAAATAAGTCTCAAAATTTAATTCTGATACTATTTTACATTAAGTTGTACATTCTGCAAAAGAATTTTAACATGAACAGACAATAACATGTTCTTCATACCTTTTGAACTCCTGACAAATCTTTCTTTAATCCTGTGACAGTCTGATACAGAATCTTGTAACCAAAAGGAAAAATTAAGAATCAACATAAAAGTAGATGATAGGCACACATTGCACTATTAAACACTGGACTAAATGGTATCATCTGTGATTATAAGAGGTACTTAAAATTTATCTCATAGTAACACAGAACGTGTATAAAACGATGTTATTCATTTACCATGTATATCAAGCACATAGGCCAAATCCAACCAGCCACCTGGTAGTTTTTCCAGAGGAATGTTTGCAATCAATCTGACGATAATAAATACTAACTCTGAACCCCATTAAATGAAATGTTACCCACCTCTCCAAACAATTCCATTCTTTTCTCATTAATAGAGCTGGTTACAAAAAGTTGTGGAACATTTTTTTCTTTTTTTATATAAAGACCTACATAAATTCTTTATTTTGCTTCTTGGCTGGCAAAGCCTAAAATACTTACCATGTAGTCCTTAAACAGGAGAAAAATTACCTCACATATGTCCATAATGAAATACATATTAATTGATATAGTATAACTATTTATAGCCCAGAATGCTATAAAACGGGGGATCTCCCCGTTTTTTCTAATTATAGTCTGCTGTACACACTCAAATGTGTCACCTCTCTCATAAATACCAATGAATTCCCTTTACATCCAATGTATACAAATAACATGCTCATATAAAGAAGCTAGCAATCTTGCTAGCTCAAAGCCAACTTTCAAGATTAGAGAAACTAGGACTGGAGGTGTGGCTCAAGCAGTAGAGTACCTGGGTAGCAAGTGTGAAACCCTGAGTTCAAACTCAGGTACTACCAAGAAAAAAGCTACTCACATTGTCTTGTTGAGCATTCATGGCCATGTCCTCTTCCTTCAATTTCATCATTATATCAATATCCCTCTCATAATTTTTTACCTCATTCAAGGTCCTAGGAATATATGCTCTCTTGAACACCTAACAGATACAGGGAAAAGCAAAATTGACACTATTATTCATTTCTTCTCACATTCACTCAGCATCCTCACTTCCATCAAGTCATGGAGTAGGTTACCTTCACCATCACCTCCAACAGATTCTCAGCCAAGCTGTGCACACACTGTCGTTGCATCTGCTACATGGTGTGCCAAACACAATTTGTCACTAATATAAAACGCTGTTATTTTGTGTGTGATTTATTTTAAAGAAGAAAAGACACTCATTAGAGTTGACTCAAGATTATCCTTAGAATACTCCTCCTATTCAATAATCTCTTCCACATAGAAGGGAAAAGGGTAGAGTTATAATTAGCAGGATCACCAGGCTATGCTTACAAAGGAACATGTTGTTACATGGGAATGTCACCTACTCAGCTGCCACAATAAAAAAAAAAAAAAAGGTCAAGAACCGCTGAACAACAAGTACCTCAATTCATCTATTACAGTGAAATTGAGGAAATTTAAAAAACAAAAAAGCCTACTATAGATCCTTTACAAAAAATGCTCTGAGTTCCTAGACTGAAATAATTTTATATTACTTTTTAAGCAAAGCATCAATATTTAAAATCTAAAATATTTCTAGAATCTATAGTCATTTAAAAATTCATACTTGCAAATTAAAAACATGCTTTCCCTTTTATTTTGGTGGTACTGGGGTTTGAACTCAGAGCCTAGCTCATTAGGCAGGCAGGCATTCCACCACTTGAGCCACACCCTCAGCCCTTTTTGAATTAGCTATTTTTGAGATAGGATCTCATGGCTTTTTTGCCCAGTAAGATGTGGACCATGATACCCTTATCTGTGCATTCCTCAATGCACCATTGCACCCAGCAACTGTAAGTGAAGTCTCTTGCACATTTTTCCTGGGCTGGCCTTGAGCCACAGTCCGCCAGATCTCCACCTCCCAAGTAGGCAGGATTACAGACAGGCTTGAGCTACCACATCCAGCCTTGTTTTTGGTTTTCTGATTCAGAGGCACACTCTGCAAAGTAGGCTGGCCTGGAACTCACTACGTATCAAAGGCTGGCCTTGGACTCTACCTAGCACCTGCCTAGCACCACCACACCTGGTGGCTTTTCCTTCTTAACTTACATATCCCACAGGCTCTTTAAAAACTTTCTAGAATATGGACTAATAGGTTGCTGACTGGAAGAATACGACGGAATTAAATTATACAACTTAGCTCATTTAAATTATATGCCATGTATCTATTAAAATCAAGTTTATGCTCCACCAATGTTTTAAAAAGACCTCAAAACTCAACTGTTAGCTGGGTGCAGTGGCACAAACCTATAATTTCAGCATTTGGGAGGCTGAGGCAAGGAGATCTTGAGCTCAAGTCCAGCCTGAGCAACACAGCGAGATCCTGTTGCAAAACAAAACAAAACAAAATCCTACCTCTTCATCCACATGATCTTGGCTAGATCTTTCTTCGTTGGTCCTTTGAGATGCTACTTCCATGGCCTTTGAAAGAAAACAAAAATTACTTTCCTTTACATTCAGGCTAGAGTAGTAGATACATCTATTTTCTACTTTTAAAAATGTACTTGTTCTAATCCTTACAGGTGTCAACTCTTCACATTTCTAAAGGCACTCAGTGAACTCTAATGGGACAGGTTTGTTCTCTACCATAGCCTTCACCAAGAAGGCTGCCATCCCTCCAAAGAAACAGAATAAACTAGCCTTGGGGAAATCTCTAGCTCAGCAGAATTGCTTGCCTAGCATGCACACATGCACAAGGCCCTGGTTCCATCCTCAGCAACACATTAAAAAAAAAAAAAAGCAATGTCAGCTTTAATAATTTTTAAATGATTAGCAAAGATATTTACTAAAGAGTAACTGAGACCCACAACCATTCCTTAATTCTTAAAAAGTTAGTGAAGGAAATCACAAGGAGGCTGAGTAAGTGGTCTAATGCTATTATAGTTTAAATCACCAAAGTAAGTCCTTTAAGCAAACAATGACTGAAACTAAGAAGATGACAAAGATTCTCTACAGGGTTTTTCTGGCTTGTAAAACTGAAGATCTTGTTCTCTAGTTAAAATATATAGAAGGAAAGAATAGTGGTAGTGGTGTTTTCTGTTTTATTTTTAAGTAAAATCACTACTAATAGCTTAGGACTAAAACAATGTGATATTTATTCAATTAGCATAAGTAGTTACAGACTATACACTGATCAGGCACTAGCAATACACAAAACTACTGTCCTGTAAGAGTTCATAATCTAGTTGGGTGTGGTGTTGAACATCTGTGATCCCAGCATTTGGAGGTTGAGGCAGGAGGATCACAAGTTCAAGACCTGCTCAAAACAAAACAAACTGAATGGAATAAGAAGTGACACAGCGTGACTACTTCTAATATAGCAATACAATATGGAAAAATACTAGGGAAACAATGATTTCTGCTGAATTTCCCCTTGACAAAGTTTTTGAACTAAGCTTTAAAGATCACCAGGCAGAGCAAGATGAGCAAAGGCAAAAACGGAAAGGCACTCCAGGGAAAGGGAAGAATGTGAGAAAGTAAGATCAAACCTCAAAGCCTTTATAGGGACACATATATGTTTAAAATCCTGGGAGCAGGAGTGACAAAGAGTGAAAACAGAAACTGAACTGTCTCAAAATTTAAAACTTCTGTGCATCAGTGTGCAATCAACACAGCACAAAAGCAACCTATGGAATGGGAGAAAATATCTGCACATCATGTATGTAATAAAAAGCTAGTACCTGGGGCTGAGAGCATGGCTCAAGTGATAGTGCCTGCCTAGCAAGCATGAGGCCCTGAGTTTAAACCCCAGTACCACATGCGAACATGCACACACACGCACACACATACACACACACACAGTTAATACCCAGAATATATGAAGAAGTCTTACCACTAAACAACAAAACAAACAACTGGCTTCAAAATGGGCAACGGAAGCCAAGTGCAGTGGTTCCTGACTGTAACACTAGCTACTTAGAAGGTGTAGGTAGGAGAACTGCATTCCAAGGCCAATGCTGGGCAAAAAGCATGAGACCCTACCTGAAAAACAACTAAAGTAAAAAGGGCTGGGGGATGCCTCAAGTGTTAGAGTACCTGCCTAGCAAGCATGAGGCACTGCTCTCAAACTCCAGTATTGCCAAAAAAGAAGTGGGGTTAGGACTTAAAGAGACATTTCTCCAAAGATGATATGCATATGGGCAAGACACATTAAAAGATGTTCAACATCACTAATCATTTAGGAAATGCAAACCAAAATCATACACCTCCTCACACCCATTTAGGATGGCTACCACCTAAAAAGGCAGAAAATAGTAAGTGTTGGTGAGAATGTAGAGAAACTGGAGCCCTTGGGCACTGCTGATGGAATGTAAAATGGTATAGTTGATATGGTAAATACTATGGTGGCTTCCCGAAAACTTAAAAAATACAATTACCACAAGATTTAGCAATTCAGCTTTTGGGAATATAGTCAAAAGAATCAAAAGTAGGGTCTTGAAGAGATATTTATGCACTCAATTCACAGCAGCATTACTCATAATAGTCAAAAGGTGGAGGTGACTCCAAGTGTCCACTGACAGAAGAATATATATGTATACTGACAGAAGAATATATATGTATACACGCATATATATAAAAAATGCGCTACACATACAAAGCCTTAAAAAGGAAAGAAATCCTGTCACATGCTGCCACTTGGATGAACCTTGAGCACATTATGCTAAGAAAAATAAGCCAGGCACAAAAAGACAAACATTGCAAGAGTCTATATATAAGAAGTACCAAGAGCTGGGGTTGTATCTCAGGCAGAACACCTGCCTACCAAGCATGAGGCCCCGAGTTCAAATCCCAGTGCCAAAAAAAAAGTCCCTGAAAAATATGGGAGAATTAATGACACAAAACAATCTGTTATTAAATGTTTATGAAGACTAACAATCTCTGTAATCTTTGCAGATGACTAAAGTCAAGACTCCTGGCTTTATCATTGACTATTACTCTATATTTTAAATTCCCCATCTGTGAAATCAGAAGTCTTAGGAAGTCAAAATGAGTAAATTACTCTACTCTGAGTCCCTCAGAAGTATCACACAAATGCAAATTACTATTACACTGCTGTTTTCTACTCTGTCCTCACCCCATCTTACCTTTGAGAGATAAGCATCCATGTTCTTGTCTGTGATGGAAGGATCTGTGACAAACTCAAAGAGCTCTCGTACAGTCATAACAGCAACAGCATGTTTCAAAAAGAAATCTGTCAGAAGGAAAAATGTTAATGATAACCTTATAAGGGAAAAAGTTATTATTCCAACTACGTATAGAGAAACAAAGAAACAGAAACATATACCATTTCCAGGCAATTAAAAAATTTTTTTAGGAGTGCTAGGGATTGATCACATGGCTCTGCACATGGTAGGCAAGTGCTCTGACAATGAGCTACATCCCAAGCTACAGCAAACGATTTAAGTGTATCAGTGAACAATTTAGTGACAACATTTTTGTTTTGGGCCGGTAGAACAGCTCAAGTGATAAAGTACATGCCTTGTAAATGTGAGGACCTGAGTTCAAACCCCAGTACCACCATCACCAAAAAAAAAAAGATCTTTGTTTTATTTTGTGGTGTTGGGAGATCAAATTCAGGGCCTCATTATGCTAGGTAAACACTCTACCAAGCTATACTCTCAGCCCCAGTGACAAAATTTTATACCAACAGTTTAACTGAGTACAGAACTAAAATAAACAAACAAGCTCTAAGGAAATCTCACTTTCTACTCACCATTGACATTGGTACAGTCTTTTCTCAAGAACTCCAAGGCATGTGGGTGGTCATGTTCTACAGACTGAGAAACATCAATGATATACACATTTCCACCATGGTACCTTGTGGACAGAGATACAGAAGCTATAGGGTGCTACAACTTACCTGGTTTTTGTGAAGCAGGTTCTTGCTACATAGCCCAGACTGGCTCCAAACTCAAAATCTGCCTACCTTAACCTCCTGAGTGCTGGAATTACAGATGTGAGATACCATGTCTGGCTAAAAAAATTCTATTCTTAAGAGCAAGAGAAATAATTCACAAAATGACCAAGGTACATAAGAAAGGGCCATTGTGACTAATAAGAGATGAAAACTGAGCAAATTCCCAAAGCCCATTAACTGTTAATGAGCAAAGTGGTTAATTCTTTTGTTGCTGTTGCTTGTGTATATTGTTTTTTTGTTTTCCCTGATGCTGGGGCTAGAACCCAAGGCCTCATGCATGGTAGGCAAGTGTTCTATTACTAAGCTATACCCCCAGCCCCTCAAAATGGCAATTCTGTGACTAAGGTCATTAAAGAGAGAAACTACATCTTAACTGTTACCATGTGGAAGCCAACTTTACAACTTTAGAATTTAATATGACTTTATGGATTAGGATTTTATATTGTTTTAAGGGACATGAAATGCCTTATAGGAGTTCCTAAAAGAAGAAACACACTCACAGCATATTAAATTCACTGAGATCTGCATGGACAAGTCTTGCATCCTGATACATTCTTCTCATGTATTGAATGACCTGCAGATACAACTCTCGCGCCTTGGATTCTGACAACTGGACATTTTTTAACAGTGGTGCGGGCCTTGAATAAAAACAAAATGAACCAAGATAAAATGACCAAGAAGAAGTTTTCTTGCTTCATACTACATTGTTACATGCACTTTTCTTCTTCAACTCATCATGTGATAATTCTTGCTACTCCAAGAAGATGCCAATAAAGAGGTGTCTTCCCAGCACACTCAATAAACATCCCTCAAAAACAGGGCTGTTCAATAGGAAAAGGGGAACAGGTACCAGAGAAAAGGTTAGATCAAAAAGAATTAACCTAGAAGGTAACACCCACGCACAGGAAATCAATGTGAGTCAATGCCCTGTATAGCTATCCTTATCTCAACCAGCAAAAACCCTTGTTCCTTCCTATTATTGCTTATACTCTCTCTACAACAAAATTAGAAATAAGGGCAAAATAGTTTCTGCTTGGTATTGGGGGGGGAGAGGGAGGGGGTGGGGGCAGGGGGGAGAAATGAACCAAGCCTTGTATGCACATATGAATAATAAAAGAAAAATGAAAAAAAAAAAAAAGGGCTGTTATTCTGAAGCATTTTGAAACTTTAAAAGTTAAACTGTAACACTTAAACACTAACACAGTGGTAAAAAAATCACAAAAGGAACTATTCTAAGGGGAAATATCCATATTACAGATTAGTTCAAAGCACTTAAAAGTAGTTCCAAGCAGGAAATTCTTAGGACTTTCTTATACTTACATGTCATCTTTACCAATGAATCCCATAACAAGAACATGACTTTTTAACATTATTGGTTCTGGACAGGGTACCTCTGCTGTGTTTAGCCTGTAGTATAATAGATAAAAGGACAATTGAAAAGTGAAAAAGGGATGTAAACAAAGTACAACAGCTATATGTTAGGAAACAGCACCAAGATCTCTCAATATTGTATTGTTGTATCTCATAAACCGTAAGACATCATTTTAAAGTGGCACCATTATGTACCAACAAGAATGATGAAACAGCTGGGTATGTTGGCACATGCCTGTAATCCTAGCACTTGGGAGGCTGAATCAATAGGATCATGAGTGTGATCATGAGGCTACACAGCAAGACCCTGTCTCAAATAAAGAAAAAACAAACAAATACACAACAAAGAAGAAATCTCTGACAAACTAATACATTCCATGACTTCTAGCCTCAGATCCAATCCCATGGGTGTTAAACCGTGCATCTTAGGTATGTCTATAATTCTCTTTTGAATTGAACAGCCTAAAATATGCTTAATAAAAATTGAACTCATACGTAACAGCAAGTTGAGCACAAGATTTCAAAACTGATTTTCAAAACAAATAGTACTTGCTTAATAGTAAGTTAACTAACATAACATAAAAGTTAGAAAACATGGAGAAGAGGAAAAAAATACCCAAACTTTTGAGGAAAATTGGCCTCAACGAGGTTAAGAAGACTTTCTTTACATGGTAAGTGCATATAATATGCAAACATGATCCAAAACGCAACTAAGTAAATAGGTGAAGTGTTTAGGATCTGACATGATTTGTCTAAAACTCCAATAACTGTTAAAAAGTGACACGATTATCATCACTGATGACAGTGTGTCACCTCCTGTTTCAAATCCTGTTAACACTGGACTGGGGGCATGGCTCAAAGGGCAGAGTGCTTGCCCACTAAGGGCAAGGCCCTGATTTAAACCCCAGTAGTGCCCCCTAAATAAATAAATATAAATAAATAAATAAATAATCCTATAATGGTTTTATTTTTCTGAGCAAAAATTCCACATATTTTCAAATAGCTTACAAGGCTTTTCAATAATTAGCTTTGTTAAACAAATATGAGCCATGATGAATTCTTCTGCAATAAAGTCTTAGACTAGAGAACAGGTCATGCTACTTGTCCAGAAATTAATTTTTTTCTGCTTAGCTCACCAAAGCTAAATAGCCTAACGAGCCCCTCTATTAGGGCAGAACCATGATGTAGCTGCTGGCAAGAAGGGCTGAAGCTGGTGCTCAGAAGACACACACATCCCAGACAGTCACCTGATTAAGTTCCTCATTTCCTTCTCTGCCCACGTTTTCACCATTTTTCTAGGGTTTCCTTTACAATAGCCATGACGAAATCTTAAACAACAACAAAAAAATTGTTATTTCAGGCATTTCATTGTTGCTTTAATATTTAAGGAAATAGAAATTAAAAGAAACTGGGAGAAAAAAATCTGAGCTCACCTGAATTCCCCACTTACATACTTGTCCCGATCTTTAAACACCAAAATAGAAGTTTTGTAAATTTTGATTGCTCTGCTCTCTCCATTTGCTGTGCTAGCATGATATACATTAGCCTATTTTGTCAAAAACAAAATGAAGTTTGTGTTAAATAACTACAATGTTTTACTTTTCAAGTATGTTTGATTCTAACCTCAAAAGACAAGTGAATTGAAGTAACATGCGTAAGTAATATGGCTATCTTTTGAAGATGTGAATTAAAATATGAAACATCTTACCAAAAAGCACAGTAAACATGTCTCTAATACACAGTCACGAGTCATGGGACCGACCATATTTTAGTTAACAATGGGCCACATATACCACAGTGGTCTCGTGAGATTATATTACTTAGTGATGTCATAGCCATCTTATGATGTTTGCACAACAAAATCACCTAATGACACATTGCTCTGAATATATTCCACAGTTAAGCTATACATCCTAACTGTACATATATTATAAAATCCAACTTAAGTGTTTATGAGAATTGGTTTCAAACATATGGAAAATATTTAAAGATACTCACATTTAATAATTCCCACAGAATGAGCTGCTAATTAAAAACAACTGTTATCTACATAAAGAAAAATGAGACAATAACCCTCACCTCTTTTGGTAATCTTAAAATTAGGGCTCAGACCCACAATGATCTGACTATCTATGCCTCACTAGAGGGCACAACTTGTTAGTCTCAATGAGACGATGCATTGACTAGTGAAAATGCACAATTACATATAAAACTTCCTATTTAACTATGAATTCAATAACTATAAATCAAGATAGTTTCTGAAACATTAAACTACCTTGACTCGTGTTACTTTTCAAAGGCACAATTTATTTACTAAGTGCCTAAGTTACATTTGGTATTTGAAATAAGAAAACTAACATGAAAACATTCAGTCATCCAAAGAAAAGCTCACTTCTTTTCCTGTGCTGATACAGCCATTTATCTCTGATATGATTCCTCTGGTCAAAATCTTGAATAAAATCATTCTTGTTCTGGGATCCAAAACCTAAAAAGAAATAAATGCAAGACAAAAATTTCAGATAGACAGTTTCAAATCTTTCTTGTTGAAACATGTGAGAATTATCAAACTGAAGAGCTTAACTTTACTTGGTTGTCTATCTTGAAGAGCTATCTTGGTTGACTAAACGAGGGTCACTATTGTGTTTGACTTACTCTTATGTTTAATAAGCAAAAAGTGAGGTGAAGGTCAAAGGAGCAAGAGACAATAAACTAAGACATTCATCCAGTCATAGAAATCAAAGGCTACCAAAGTCTTAAGGAAGCAGAAATGGACTCTAGACCAACATTAGCTAATGAAAACTTAATAAACCATGTAAGTAATCTTACACTGTTTAACCCAATACATCTAAAAGATCATCAATATATAATCAAAATAAAGTTATTAACAAGATATTTAGCATTCCCTTTTTTATACTCAATATTCAAGAGCCAGCCTGTATTTTACATTCATAGCACATCTAAATGCATACTAACCATGTTTCAAGTGTTCATGGGTACTGAACTGGAAAGGCAGCTTTAATCCAGGGGTGTGCACTCTATGGCCCAGCTGCAGCTTGTTATTCTATAGACTGTAAGCTAAACATGGCTATGCACTTTTAAAGGCTGCTCAAAAAAATTATTATTCAATAGAAACCACACATAACATGCAATGCCGTAAGTATTTATTAGTCAGCTCCTTAAAGAAAATCTGAAGATCTTTGCTATTATAGATGAGTAAATCAAAGCAAGGGTCTTCTTCAAAGTCACACTAGTCAATCTTGTATAAAAAGAATTCAAGTCCTAGGACCTTAAACAAATAGAAGGCAAGGATTTTAAAGTCTCTTCTTGTCCATCTCTGAAACTGCAATTTCAAGGGACACCAGCAGTACATCTTTGTGCTCAGATGGGACTCCCAGATTCATGAAATGAGAAACTATAAACCGGCTAAACCTAACTATACTTTAGGTCTATACTTAGGTGATGCCTAAACCTAAGGTTAGTACAACTTTGGAAGACTGTAGGACCAAACACCAAAACACAACCATTTCAACTACAGAAGGATAAAAGGGAACTGAGTGAGCAGGTGTTAATTTCCACTCCTCTACTGCACAGGTAGGACAGATGGGAAGTAAACTGGCTGAACCCAGGAGCCTAGGTTGAGACTGTGCTTCTGTAAAACTGGTAGTTAGATAAGTAAGGGGCAGATGAAGGAGCAACATACTAAATGGCCTAAGAACAAGACAGGAAAACCAGGCACATGGTGCATACCTGCAGTTTCAGCACTCAGGAGGCTGAGGCAGGAGGATTGAGTTCTAGGCCAGTCTGGGCTATAGAGCAAGAACCTATCTCAAAAAAACAAACAAAAAGAAGAAGACAGAAAAAAGAAAAATGACAAACTAATATTTTAAAAAGACAGCCTAAGACTCAAGGTATATACTCCAACATTCAAAACTAGAGAGAAAGTATTTCCTAAGTTGTTTTAAGGTATTTGAAAACTTAAGACTGTCTCATCTCAGAATCACAGAAACAAATCAGACAATATTCATTGTAGGACAATGACAATACAGCCCCAGACCCTGCTCCTGCTTTACTAAAGGTGGCAATCTTAATTGCACAAATGGCTCTAGATCACAGGCTAGTTTCTACTCTCCTGGGGGTTGAGGTCCATGACAGGAGTGCTTAAATCTTAAAACCAAGGAGCTGCAGAGAAACAGGCCTATTTCAAAATGTGTGTTTGTGCCTATGAGTGCTACAAACAACAATATTCTGACCCTTGTTATCACTTTTTTTTTTTTCCCCCGGTACTGGGGCTTGAACTTAGGGCCTTCACCTTGAGTCACTCCACTAGCTCTATTTTTGTGAAGGGTTTTTCAAAATAGAGTCTCATAAACTACTTTCCTGGGCTGGCTTTGAACAGCAATCCTTCTGATCTCTGCCTTCTGAGTAGCTAGGATTACGAGCTTGAGCCACTAGTGCTCAGCTTATCACTTTCTTTACATCCAAAATCTGAGCCTGTGCTAACATCCAATCATATCCCTCCGCATGTGGGAAAATGAGGGGCTAATTTCTCCCTTCAACAGAAAGAATAAAACTCACATAATTTCTAAGCAAAGAAAAGGAGTTCTAATTAGAAATTTGAAGGTATTACCTCTTTCTTTCTCCTCTTACCCACACCCACACTCCCTGCTTCATTTCATTGCAGACAATCAACCTGTTTTCTGGGAAAGATAACAAAAATCTCTACAGACCTTGCTTAAGAAAGACTGTGGGTTTGATAATTTCTGTTCCTCCAGAAGGGAAAGAATTGGATGATGGCTTCACTGGTCTATTGAAGGACCATGAATTTATCTACCAATGGCCCCTTTTTTTTTTTTGGGGGGGGGGCCTGGGGTTTGAACTCTTGGCTTCACACTTTCAAAGCCGGTGCTCTACCACTTGAGCCACACTAACAGTCCATTGTGTTCTGGTTATTTTGGAGAGGGGGATCTTGAGAACTATTTGCCTAGGCAGGCCTAGAACCTCAATCCTCCCAATCTCAGCCTCCCAAGTAGGTAGGATTACAGGAGTGAGCCACCAGTGCCTGTCTCTAATGGTCCTATTATAAAGCAAAATGTTCACCTCTAAACTGAAACAATAAGGAATAACTTTATATAGAAGTAATTTTAGGTAACAGCACTAGGCAAGGAGGATAAAAGCAAAGAACAATTCAAAGAGAAAAGAAATGCTAATTTAACATAAGAACTTGCAACACATTTAAACTATACCTGTTCTACAGTTGCTCTGTCTGCCTTATCTTTAATTCGGTACCTAAGCAAAAAAAAAAAAAAAAGTGTAATTGACATATTTAAATTCAGTGAGAAGCCAAAATAAAGCTTCTAAATGTACATTCTGTGAAAATTTCTAGGTCATTTATTTCATAACAGATTTTCATGAGTCGACTATAGATTCTTTACTCAGTAAAACTTTCTTCATTTCTCCTGAGCATGCAATTTAATTCTCTGGGGTGAAAGGAATATATATATACACATATACATACATACAGTGGGCACATATACACAGTAAGGAAAAGTCTCCTTTTTATTTCAGAAGAACTAAATAAAATCAGCAGGCATAAAATGACAAAGAAAATTTAGAGCCTGTTTACACAGTTCTTCAAATCTTTAATCATTCTATTAGTATAAACTTAAAGATATTTATAAGGCTTTCTCTTTAGAATCACATTCTAGGAAGACCCAAGTTTATTATCATTTCAAGACAGTTTTCAAAGTGCAGGTTCTGATTTTCTTCAGCTCATACACAGGTAATTCAATCAGTACACTAACCTAAACTAATAAAGATTCAAAGACATTGGGCTGGCAGTGCCTCAAGTGGTGGAGCTCCTGTTTAGCAAAAGTAAGGCCAAGTTCAAACCCCAATACCACCAATAAGAAAAAAAAAAGATTAGAAAAAGATTCAAATACAAAGAGTCATACACGTCAATTAAATAACAGGTGACTGGTGTTTCAGCAATGAATCACAGGAAAACTGGTTTTAAAGTTCAATTCTATGCTGGGTACAGTGGCTTACACTTGTAATCCCAGCTAACTTTAGAGGCAGAGATCAGGAAGATCCTGGTTTCAGGCCAGCCCAGGGGAAAACATTAGGAAGGCCCCATCTCAACAAAGACTGAGCATGGTGGCATGCACCTATAATCCCAGCTACACAGGGAGCATAGGTAGGATGACTGCAGTCTGAGTCTGGCCTATCTGAAAAATAACCTAAAGCAAAAAGGCCTGGAGGCGTGGCTCAAATGGCAGAGCAACTGACTAACAAGTACTGGGCCCTGAGTTCAAACCAACTGGTTCTAACACTGGTTAGAACAACTGGTTCTAACACTGCTAGTAATATTAGAGCTATTAGCACAGGAGAAGTTACCCACATTGTAAACAACTGGCACTGAGAACAAAGCGTAAACGGAAACAGTTCTGTTACATCACTATCTAGTTTTCCCTTGAATTTTTAAAATATGTTGCAGAAGGGACCAATTTTTAATAAAATCTAAAGAGGGAAAAATTTTACACATTTAGTCTAAAATGAAATTCACAACTACTGTTGCTAGCCTCACAAAAGCACATTTGTGGATTTCGCAAATTATAGTTTTACCATGTATTTCGTAAAAACTCATTTAGTATTTTCAATTTACAAAGGAATAAGCTACACTCAGATTTTAAAAGAATAAAAACAAACATCCTCTACAAAATAAGTAAGCTACTTAGTCTAGAAACTAGTCTCTATCACCTACATTTTATAATTAAAATGTTACTTACATATCTGCTTCTTTTTGTCTAGACTTCTCGGTGACTTTATTTATGACAGAGTCAGTAACATTTAGCTTATCTACAAAATACAAAAAAACCCACAATATAAACAATATGTAAGACAAAAAGACACTAGAAGTCTCTCTGAACAGGACACTTTTTCTCTATCTTCTCCTCTTCTACATTTTTAAAATATTATTAGCTGGGCGCTCATGGGTGGCTCATACCTGTAATCCTAACTACTTGGGAGGCTGAAATCGGGAAGATCTGGGTTGGAGGCCAGCCTGGGCAAGTAGTTTGAGAGACTCCATCTCCAAAAATAAGCAGAGTAAAATGGACTGGAGCTGTGGTTCAACCAGTAGAGCTCCTGGTTTGCAAGCATGAAGCCCTGAGTTCAAACCCCAGTCCCACCATCAAAAAAAAAAAAAAAAAAAATATATATATATAGTTACAGTATATTTTAGTAATAAAAAAATTAATGTCTTTAATAGTAAATAACAAATTATGCTTCCTTTGTAAAAGAGTGCTATCACTTTTATCACTCTACATTTAATTTTTGAGCCAGAATTCTATAGAATTCTAGATACAGAAAATACTCTTGGGAGGTGCACATCAGGAGGAGAGCAGTTAGAGGCCAGCCCAAGCAAAAAATTAGTGAAATCCCTATCTCAATCAATAAGCTGGGTATGGTAGTGCACACCCAGGATCAACCCCATGGGAGACTACAGATAGGATCCCAGTCTGAGGCCAGATGCAGGCCAAAAATGCCATCCCCTACCTAAAAAATAACTAGAATAAAAAAGGGTTGGGAGCATGGCTCAAGCAGGAAGACATGAGTTCAAGTCCGTTTTCTCCCAAAACAGAAAATACTGAAAATATCTGCATATTAAATTCTAGGCACTAGCAGGGCACCGGGTGGCTCACACTGTAATCCTGGCTACTCAGGAGGGAGAAATCAGGAAGATCATGGCTCGAAGCCAGCCCAGGCAAATAGTTCTGGAGACCCTATCTTGAAAAAAACCAAACACACACACCCCCACACCAGGGCTGGTAGAGTGGCTGAAGTGGTAGAGCTCCTGCTTAGCAAGCATGAGGCTCTGAGTTCAAATCCTAGTACCACCCTCAAAAAAATTTCTAGGCACTTAATCTTGCACACAAGATAGATAATATAAATTCCAAGTATAATTTTAAAAACTTCTATTGCATCTTAAGTGGTAAATCCAGTGACAATGGAGACCCTAAAATTCATTAATCTATATTCATTAATTTAGCACTTGATAAATGTATGAAACACTGCACTAGGTTTATAAAGAGTCAAGGTTCTGCAAGAAGAGAATGATGGCCTTACATTTAATAGCTGACTAAGTGATTAACACCTACATTAAAAGTCTCCAGTGAAACAAAACAGCAGTTTCAATACACTACTATGAAATGGTCCTATCACAAAATCTACTACAGAACAGACGAGAACTTGAATAGACACCTGTAACTTCACAACAAATGAGAAAACACAATTAAAAAAGTGTAAGTTGGGGCTGGAGGTGGCTTAAGTAGTAGAGAGCTTACTTAGCAAGCACAGGGCCATGAGTTCAAACCCCAGTACCAATCCCCACCCTTACTACTCTCACTACAAATTTTAACTTTCTTTAAGCAATATAATTATGTAACACAATATATTTATTTCTTGATCCAACAAAAATGTTTAACACTTCATGGATTTTAAAGATTATGCTCATAGCCCAGTGAGGTAATGTATTATATAAACTCACCTAGATTAATTTTATTTTCAAATTTCCGTAAGACCTTGTCAGCTGGAGTAGACATTTTGGCTGAATTGTAGCTAGAAGTCTGTCGACTGGCCTACAAGAAATGAGTTTAGAGTCTGAGGTACAAATTGTAAATATAAACCTAAGGTTCGTCATCACATGCCTTTTTCCTTAGTTATTAAAGAATCAACACTTACAGGAGTATACTAAGGAAAGGAAAGGAAAGAATCAAATTTGCTCAAAACCTTTTTTAAAGATATTTGAAACAGAAGGTTAAAGTTATTGGCTAAAACAAAAAAATCCACGTAATTTTTTTTGTCATTTACTTCTCTTTAATGTATTCATTATTATAAACAAATCAAAATTATTTTTATAATTTGGTTTATAATTCAGTACTTCAGAATGTTCAATTACCTCCATGTTTAATAAAGAGCTGAGACTAACTAAACTGATTCTAGCAATTTCATTTTGGACCCAGTATGTCAAGAAAGGGAAAGATTAAGTATGAGACTTAGCATTTGATTGGTGCTGTGTTCAAACTTAAATAATGGCAAGAAGAGAAGTGAAGACAACATTTTAAAACTCATAAATAGAGTATAGTATAGATACAAAGGGATCTCTTACAATCACTGATTCAATCCTATCTCAGAATGGAACTGTGAGGCTGGGTTTTAAAGGATCCAAAATGTTTTTCTATTAAACTTAATTTTTAAAATAATTTTTGATTAAGGGCATAGCTTAATACTAGAGCACTTGCCTAGCAAGTACAAAGCCCTGAAAAAAAAATCTTTTTTACCTGTTTTCTACTATGTTTTATTTCTACTTACTTATTTCATTGGCTTATTTATTTAGTGGCGGGATTGACCACAGGGACTCATGCATGTTAGGCAAGTGCTATAACACAGGTAAAAATTTAATCAGTGTAATTGCAGCATGCAAAGATAATAGTCAATGTTTAAACACATATACTTCCAATTTTTTTTTTTAGTTTTCTTAAAAGTAATCACAGTCCATGTTGAAATTGCTCAGTCTCACCAATGAATGGAGAAGTTACCAAAGTAAGTTTATAGTAAAAGCTGAGCGCCAGCGGCTCAGGCCTGTAATCCTAGCTACTCAAGAGGCAGAGAGCAGGAGGATCGCCGTTCAAAGCCAGCTCCAGCCAACAGTTCTCAAGACCCTATCTTGAAAATACCAATAATAAAAAGGCCCGGCAAAGCAGCTCAAATGGTATAGTGCCTATCTAGCAAGTGTGAAGCCCTGAGTTCAAACCCCAGTCCCACTAAAAAAAAAAAAAAAAAAAAAGATTCTAGTAAGTATGAAATTTCTTTGGCTATTTTTTATTATTTTTTCTTTTGCTCTTGGCAGTACTGGGGTTTGAACTCAGGGCCTCATACTTGCCAGGCAGGCCCTCCACCACTTGAGTCACTGTACCAGCCCTGGTTATTTTTTTAAATGTACATATTCTAGTATATAACATAGCTGCTTTAACAGTCCAAGGGGTATTGGTTTTTTCCCTCCACATCTTTTAGTAACCTTTACGCATTAATTTTATGGCTCTGGAAACTCCTGGCATGTTCAGTACTTTCAATTTGAGAAGCAGTCTCTCCATGATTGGTAATTGTTTTTTGCACATGGCAAATCATGAACACCTATCATGAATATATGTTACATACATATACATATAATATACATATTTTAACCTCGTTAATAGTCTTATACTGCAACATATTTTCTGGCTCACACAATATTCTATTGTGTGAATCAGTCCCATAGTAAATTTAATCAAGGTCATTTCTAATGTTCCTCTACTATAAATAATCTTGGAGAATCACTATTGTAATTAAATCTTGGTACACTCCTAGAAGAAATGCTGGTCAAAAAATTTCAAGTTTTTATCATATACCAGTTTATTTTCCAAATAATTTCATCTATATGACTACTGCTTGTATATTTTGTCTTTGTCAGCTTCATAAATGAAAAAAATGGTATTTTCACATAATCTGCATTTTTTTTTTTTTTTTTGGTGGGACTCAGGTTTGAACTCAGGGCTTCAGACTTGCAAAGCAGGTACTCTACCACTTGAGCCACACTTCCAGCCTATTTTGCTATGGTTATTTTTGGAGATGGGGGTCTCCTGAACTATTTATGCAGGCTGGCCTTGAACCTGGATCCTTCTGATCTCAGCTTCCCAAGCAGCTAAGAATATAGGCATAAATCAACAGCATTCAATGATTTTTTTTTTTTTTAAACAATACTGGGGTTTGAAGTCAGGCCCTTGCACTTGCCAATGAGGTGCTCTTCCACTTGAGCCACACTCTTAACTCTTTTGGCTTTAGTTATTTTTCAGGTAGGGTCTTGTGTTTTTTGCCCAGGTTAGACTGCACCACAATCCTCTTGCCTAGGTCCTTCTACATAGCTAGTATTATACACATGACCCACCATGCCTGGCCCATGCATTTCTTTAATTACTACTGAGGTTGAGCCTTTTCTGTTTCTTAATGACCTATAGTTAACTGCCTATTCACGTCCTTTCCTATGCACATTTTTAAGCTTATAATCTTATGACACTTAAATAACTCTTAACATTTATTTACTTACTACGAAAAGAATCCAAACCCAGGAAATTATGACAATATGAAAAGGATGAAGAATGAAAAATCAATGAAGGCTAGGGCTACAGAACAACACAATCTGAAAAAAAAATCCTTCATATACTTCATTCAATTCCAGAGTTACACAAAATCCTGCAAAACAAGAAGGGAAAAAAAAAAAAGACAGCATAAAAATAGACAAAATCATTTAAGTACCTGTGGGTTACTTCCTCCATTCCAGGCATAACCCTTGGTGAGTTTTCCAACTCCATCATTCCAGTCCCAATCATTGTCATCATCATAATCCTCCTCTTCATCCTCCTCATCTTCTATCTCACCTTCACCTTTCTTCTCTGTCACATTATTTTGAAGCTCTTCAAAGAGAATGTAATCTTCAACTTTGGTTGTCTTCAAATCAATGTTTTCACTAGAAGTAACAATTTTAGCATGTTTACAAATCCTCTAAGTGGACTTACATATACCCACACACTTACGTTTATATGCATAAATATATGCTGATAAATTCTCAAGGCTCCCTTATGATAAATCTCTCAGTAAGCTCCACCTGCTTAATACCAAGTTCTCCTGCTTCTGTTCTGTTGTAGTTGTTTGCTTATTCTCCATGCCCAAGTTCTACTAGGGAAGTACATGAAGTATGATGTACTTCATTTGTTGAATGAATCTGCTTCTGCCCTAAATGAAGTTAGAATTTAAATAATCTTCTTTGCTGACTGAATTGATTCTAATCAGTGTACCAGACTCAACTCTAGGTTAGTACCTTTAAGAGAAAAACAATCTTTCTTACAAAATTTGGGAACAAGTCTACAGCAGTTTTACCTTGATCTCTGAATCACTTTGTAACACAATGAACTGTATCAAGAATGGTGTGATTCCAAATCATCCCATTTACAAAGGAAAATAATGGTGAATACAGAGGCTAAACACTACACACGAGTGAAGAAAGTTGAGTATAAGACAAAAAGTGGGCTGTCAAAATTGAGACAAGGTCCAGGGTGAGAATTCAGACCTTGTGTTACTGAATCTTCCTAGTTTTTTGAGCGAAGCCAGAAATTTGGGTGTTTGTGTAAAATGTTCCACATACATGACACATTCTATTTTTATTTTTGGGGCAGGGGACGGGGAGTGGGCAGTACTGAGGTTTGACCTCACAGCCTTGAGCTTGCTAGGTAGGTGCTCTTCTACTTGAGTCAAGCCTCCAGCCTGACACATTCAATTTTTATAAAACATTGTGCATACCAAACAAATTTACAAGCAAAATTCAACAGAGGTAGTGCCAGTCTTGACTTTCATGTAAACAAGGACAGAAGTTGTATAAAACAAGTAATATGCACTACTTACAAACAGACATGAGTTTAGTAAGTTCAGGTATCAATCCCAATTTATTAATTAGCCATGTTTCAGAGGGCTCCAAATTCCCCTGGACATGGGCAGGAAGAAAACAGATAATCACTAAACACCTGCATTTTACTAGGACTTCATAAATCAAGTCCATAAGCTAGTCATCCAATTACCAATAACAATGGCATGTTAAAGTGACAACTTTGTTCTACGGCTTCTCAACTTCAGTTAGGTAATTCTTTGCTGGAGGATACACCTCCATGATGTTTAGCATCATCACTAGTCTCTACCAAATGCCACTAGTGCACCACCTCAACTCCAGCTATGATATTTTAAAATGTCTCTGGACATTGCCAAAAGTCCCCTTGGTAGGTGGCAAAATGAAACCTGGTGGAGAACCACCAGTTTACCCTCACGATATCCTGTGTGGGAGTGAACTAGTGCACACTCATTATCATTATCTATGATGTGTTTCTTTTCCCCACTTAAGTTCTTTCACAAGGACTTTTGTGCACTGATCTGTAAGACGAAAGTTCTCCTTACTCTTGATTAAACTCTACTCATCCCTCCTGTATCAGCTTACTATCACCTGCTTAGGGAAGTCTTCCCTATTATTCACCCATTTCTTTTGTACTATTCACTCAATTCCAGCAAAAATCCTTTTTTGTCTATTTAATAGCAGTTTCCCATAGATGGCATTTACCAATGTATCCCTACACCTAATACTAAAATTTGGCAAATATAAAGTGGTCAATGTAAATTTTATCAAAAACATTCCCAGATGATTAATAAAATCTGTATGTGATGAACCCTCATCAAAAAGTACAAACCCTTTTCTTGGAATTTAAAAATAACTGTTCCATTTTCTTTTAAGCAGGTATCCTTCACTGCTCTTTCACCAGCCCCCACATTAATTGTCACCAAATCCTGCCACTTCTACCTCCAAATCATCTCTTAGGACCCTAGCTCTAGCACCCATCATCTCTGAATCTTATTACTTGATTACTTTTGAACTGGTCTTCCTGTTCCACTCTTGCTTTCCATGACTATCTTCTACATAGCAGAATGATTCCTTTGAATCTTACTTAACTCATGTTATTCCCCTGCTAAAATTCCTCCTCTGGTTTGCCATAAGAACTTGAGCAATACTTTAGTGCCTCAGTGTCACTTGTCAGGCTCTACATGATCTGGCTCCTTCTCTCTCTCTCTCTCTGCCACCTCCACTGTGGTCTAAGCACCAGCCTCTTGGTTTCCCTTCACAGGCAAGATGGATCCCATTGTGGGGCTTCCCTACTTGTCCTGTCTGCCTGAAATGCTGTTCCTGCTTGTTATTTAAATCTGGATTTAACTGATTCTTCCCTGTTCATTACTTAGTATACCAACCTATTTTAACTATTTGCAGAGTAGCTTCCATTATCTGCTTTTTTTTTTTTTTTTTTTTTTTGTAGTCTGCTCTCCCTCCCAAACAGAAGGTAAAGTACCATGACAGTAGGGGCTTGGTTTGTCTCGTTCATCATTATCTCCAGCCAAAGACAAAACCTGGCACGGTAAGGGTGTATTAGTGTTTGTGGACCGCTGAACGTAGTTACAACGCAGACACCGAGGTCCCCCAGTTACCATCCCCCACCTGCCTCTCTAGACTTAGGGTCTAGAGACCTAAGGCAGATGACTGAGTATCCCATCCCCCATGAAGGGCAGTATCATTTCTACATCCTGAGGAGATGGAGGCCTGCATTCCTGCATGCTAAAGGAGACATACAGATCTGCCACAGGGCTGATGAGCAAAATGCTCTCAAGATTGTTCCCTTCCCCCAATAAAGGTGCTAACCAAACCAGTTCACCTGAGAAAGCCCTTGAAATGCAAGGCCAATGAGAAAATCCGCCAGTCCAAAGTTAAAACGTCCATTAAAAACCCCAGCCTTCACCTGTGCAGCGAGTCACCGGCTTCCGGGCTCCGTTGCAATTCCCTAACTGCAGCCTTTCCTTTCTCTCTAACAAATCCTACTTTATATATACCGGCTTTGGCTCCTCATTCAGCTGCCTCACAAGCCAGTTCCCTGGCCTGTGAAGGCAAGGACCCTCGACACCGGCACGTAACAAAACTAACCGGCCTGGGAACCCGCAGACTCCCTTGACAAGGAGCTTTCATGAACTCTACGCTAAATTAGGACAGACCCAGCTGCGATAAGGAAGCAAAGACAACCTCTAACCCAGAAACAAATGTCAGCTCCCCAAGACGGAGGAGAGAGCAGAATGTGAGCAGAGTCTGAGCACTGCACGAGCTCCTACCTGTCGGAGGAATCCGCGTCGTCGAACTGCCCCGGGACCACCTGGCTCATCAGCAGCCGCCGGTAGTCCATTCCGAAGACGCCGAGCCCTCACCGCCACCTGAGGCCTCCCACTCAGCTCTGGGACAGAAACGGTTTTACCTGCGGCGAATCCAACCGCCTTTTCGCGTAACTCCGCTGCGCAAATCCCTCAGGAGCCCTCCACACCTGCTACGCCAGCCTCATGCAGCTGGAAACCAGAACCAACAGCTCGTAGAAATAGGACCACCCAACGACCGGAAGCCCCCTGCCGGAAATATGTCATCGGAAGTCCCTCCCCTTGCCGTGACGATCCTCGGGAGCTTGCTGAAGACGATGCGTGAAAGGGGTCTGGCGGATGTGCTTAGTGGTCCGCTCAACTATGTGGATGCCGTCCATTCCGCCAAGAGGTTTTCGTGTCTTGCGCCCGCCCCACTTTGTGTTGTCACCCGCTGATGGACGCTCCAGTTAGCCTACAGGCTGTTTCCGGCAGGGGGTGTCCCGTCCTCTTAACTTTGTTACTCTGGGAGCCATTGGGGTGGGCCGGGCGCTGAGTGCGGCGGCTCCTCTTCCGGCGGCGATTGGCTGGCGCGGGCTGACGTCACACAGGGGCTCCGCTGCCAGTTCGTAGACGTCCGAGTGGGACGGGTCCAAGGGTCTTTTTCCTCCGCAGAACCAGTGCGGAGGGAGGAGGCGCGAAGTCTTTAGCGTGGGTCAAAGAAACTGTCAATGGATTATGGAAGTAAGCACACTTAGGCTTCTTACCAAGTTTGCTGCGTTGTTTGGAGGTGAAAATGAGATCTGTGGTTTTGAAAAGTGAAAAGTTTGTCATACGACTGAAAAAAATTCAAGTACAAAATTTCAGTTTTTGTCTGCAACTCCCGTGATCTCTCTTTTTAACGCCTGTCTTAAGATAACAGCTTTAGAATGTCAACGGAATAGCTACCCCGAGGTCGGAATAAATATTTTAAAAATCTAACATAAATCTGCCAAGAACAGAAGTGAAAGAGAGCTGTAGGAGTGGCTCAAGAGTAGAGCACCTACCCAGCGAGTGTGAAACCCTGAGCTCAAACCCAGGTATTGTAAAGAGAAGAAAGAAAACCCCAGTTGTCCAAGAAAATAGATGTGGCATAGAAGAGCGAGGAGGGAAGACTGATTTACAGGATTGTATTTGACTTGATAATGAGGTGTTCAAATAGAAGGGATCAATCAGGTAAACAGCACAAACTAATAAGTTTGAAAATCTCCCTTGCTTAGGTAACTGAGAGATCTCTTCCTTCACTTTGTAGGACCCAAGTTTTGTAGGGAATTGCTGGATAGTAACCACACATACTGACTTGGTTTTGTCCAAATCAATGTTTACAACCACACCAAGTTAGTGAATGAAAGTTAAAATTTAGAGCTGTGAAAAAATAAAATTTAGGGCTGTAAATTTGTTGTTTTTGTTACTAGAAAGCTGGTCCCCTGGCCTCAATGCCAATTCAGAAATAACTAGAGCTGGGTTTTTGAGGAAAAGAAGTGAGATTTTGTTATTCATCAGACAAAGGACAGGGAGAGTCAGCCTCTCAAAGTCTGACATCCCACTTCTGAGAGAAAATGTCTGCTTTTTAAAGGGGAGTTCAAGGGCTCAGTTTGAGTATGAGACAAAAACTCATGTCCCACAATAGGTGCTGGCCTTAGTTACCCAGGTGTTTGGTGCCATATCTCCAGAGATGACTGACATCTGGCTAACAGGTTTACTCCTTCTCAATCATCAGAGAGAGAGAAGGGGTAGAAGACTGCCTGGATTAATTGAAGAGTAAAGGGTGTTAACTATGAACTCTCCAGCATGTAGACAAAAGGGAGAAGATGTCAATTTGATTAACAAGCATAGTAAACTGGCCAGCACACAAGCTGACTACAACCAAAAGGTTTTCCCTTTTGTAGTCCCAGTTACATTTTCCCTACTGTCAATTTGTTCCTTCCATTGCTATGGGAAAAAAGGGGTCATACTCCTCTAACTACTTCTTGTCTTTGTTAGTTAATTCTTCCAGAGCCCAAGTAAGGAGTCAGTGCGCCTCAGCAAAAGCAGCTTTTAAGCATCTGTTACACTTTCTGCGTGTGAAGGGTGTGGGGGAAAAAACCTTTCATTTGCACGTATTAATTGACACTAAAATTATCCTTTTTTTTTTTTTTTTAAGAGACCTTCCATAATTCAGCTGTTAGGACTAAAGACTCTCAAAACTTTTGGTCATCATCCCTGCCAGCGCAAAAAAAGAAAAAAATTTTGGTCATCATCTTCACATCCTGTACGTTTTGAAATGGATACTTCTTATGAAAAATTAGAAAGCATGTCAGAATCAGATGCCATGAATGTCAGTGGTCTTTCTCAAGACTTTTATCACTTAGATTCTTCCTTATGTATTGAAGTCAGCCATATCACCTCAGACTTGCCTCAGGTATGCATTGCTAACAAGTCCTGGGTGGTTCAGAAGCATTTGCAATTTGTTGTCTCCCTTATGAACATTTCTTCAAAAATATGAAGAATAATAAAAGAACCTCCTGTGGGCACATAGGGAGGAGAATACAGGGCCTGGTTTTCCTAATCCTGTTAGTGTACAAAGAAAGGTAGAATTTCATAGGTAGAGTGCTAAACTTTTTTTTTTCTTTTTTCTGACAGTATTAGGGTTTGAACTCAGGGCTCCACACCTGCTAGGTAGGCACTCTACCCCATGAGCCACTCCACTGGTCTTTTCTAGTCTGCCCCTGAAGTTCCCAAGAGTGCAGCCAGGGAACATAGCCACAACTCAGTCACAGCCAAGATGAGAGCTCAAGAGACCTGACTCCTGATCTAATGCATCTTCCATTGTGCTAGTATGCAAATGATTCCATTGTCATGCATAATTGCATTGACAGCACTGAGTGTAAATTACTCCTATCCTGTACCTTCATGAAAATTCCTAGTGCCCTTTCTCTCAGAAATAAGAGATTGTAATGTCCTAAGATTTTTAGGAGTGTTGTTCTAAATGTTTCATAGATGCTAGCAAGAGTATAGAGAAACAATGGAAATGTATTAATTGTGCCTTGTGAAATTGCCTTTTTTGTAGTTCAGTGGTGGATAAATACAGAAAATTTCATGTGACTCATCATATAAATTGGCACAACCTTCCTAAAGGGCTGCTTAGTAGGAAGGCAACTGCATTTGAAAATTCTACCTCTAGGAAATAAAGATTTTTAAAGAATTTGCTTATAATAATTACACATTAGAGGCAACCTAAGTTTTCATGAGTGGGAGGACAATTAAATTATTTTTGTAGATCTGCAGTGGACATGTAACTTAAATTTGCTATTGAACATATTTGTTTACAGAAAAATGGTCCCATTGGTTTTTACTGAGTAGAAGGGTTTTGAGCGTTTTCTCTCTCTGTCTGTCCCCCACCCCCCATGCACATACACAATGTTTAGGATTCTTTTTTATAATTATAAATACCTCATTTTGAAAAAATATTGGGTCATAGTATTATACTGTTAATCAGTGTCCAAAACACAATAGTACTACATTTTAAGAAATGATGTTGTGAAGTATTTAGGAAGTCCTCTGTGGAGTTCATTGAGCACTTCACTTTTTATAATAAATTGGTAGACCAAAGTAACAAAAGATGTATTTTAGTTTAAAATGATACCAGAGAAAACTAGAGTTAGAAGTTATGTTTGAAAAGCTATGAATGGTAGAATTCTAAGAAGATTGTGGGAAATATAAAGGCAGATGGAGATAGTGCTATTTTATTTTTCAAGTACAGGTTTTTAAAGTACTTTTTAAGTCTAATTTGGAAGACAATCTGAATTAATTATGTCTAAAAACAGATTGTTATAAGCTGTAACTTTGTTTTGTTTTGGTTTGCCTTGGTTTGGGATTGGTTTTGGATTTTTGAGACAGGGTCTCACTATGTAGCTTAGGTTGCCTAGAACTCTCTCTATAGCCCAGGCTGGTCTGAAACTTGCAACCTCCTGCCTCAGCCTCCTGAATGCTGGTATGATAGATGTGTGCCTATAATCTGAAACAGGTTTTATTGTACTTCAAGTGCATTCAATACATGGAACAATTCTAAAAAGGTATTATTGAATAGAGGTTTGTAGTCAGCTGGCTTTAAAAGAGTTGAGATTTTTTTTTTCTCAGAGCATGATGTAGATTCACATGCTTGATATGATATTTATGATTAAACCAATGTTTTCTTCAAAATTTCTTCAAAATTATTTAATTTAATGACCCCTTTCTGATAGATACCATTAAGGTAACTGAGAACAAGCCCTATGTAAATTTTATAAATTATTGTTAGGTAGAATCAGATGTCATCTCATTACTGGAACTATATTTTATTTATGTTCAGTGAAACAGAGAACACTAACCACTATCTTACTGCCATTTAGACAAGATTTAACAAACATCAAAGAATTACTAGTAAGATATGTATACATTCTCATAAATCCCTATGTTTATAGACACATCATCTGACTTATAAAAATACCAAAATATTAAAATAGCAGACTATTTGTTATTTAATATGACTGTCCTAGAATGGTTTTACTAAAAGCTAAATACACAGTGGGAAAGATACTAGAAAGCATGTTCTACCTGTACAACAAAAATTCTAATAAAAAAGTAGATAGCATGTGCGCCTTTAGAAGCTTATGATATTTGCTCAAAGCATTAATATTAATGCTTTTAAATTATTAATACAGAATGAAACAAAGAATCTAAAAAGGGAAAATGGATCTACACCCTCACTTTCTGAAGATATTTATAGCATTCAGGACAATGTGTTGGGTGGTAAGTATCCCATCGTTGGCCATATGCAAAACAGAAACATTTTTGTATGTGTGCTTATCCTGTGATAATAACAATAGCCAGGTACTGAGTTAAGCACTTTATATATGTTACTACATTTAATCCACAAATTATCTTGTGAAATGGGGATGTTTAAAAATTGAAATAAGGATGGTTTTTATCTGTATTTTACAAATGAGGAGAGTCAGATTCAATAACTTGCACAAGGTCATGTAGCAGCTGTGACTCAGATCACAGCTTCTTAGACACAAGAATTTTATGCCATACAAGTATCTTAAAAAATGGGTATTGATATAACCAGAGTTTCTTATTCTAGTCTTAAATTGGCATTATGGCAATTTAATGCTATTAAATTGGCTTAAATGCTATGTAGGAGTTTGTCATATAATGAGACATATCGATCATGTTTATTAAAACAAACCTAAATGCTGTATACAAATGTCTCTTCATTTTTTTTTAATTTTTATTTTTTTATTATTCATATGTGCATACAATGCGTGGGTCATTTCTCCCCCGTCTCTTCATTTTTAATAATTTTAACCCAATACTAAAATTAAAAGACTTGACAAGCCTTATTGAAATTACAGAATTCAGTATGTGTGTGGGTATAAGAAAAATAAGTAATGTAAAATTAGAAAGGAAGAAAAGAAATGATTATTTGTAAATATGTGATTTTCTACACAGAAAGTCATAAGAATCTACGCACTATTAGAAACAAAAGTTTAGAAGAATTGACAGATCAATATAAAAAACTAATAGTATTACATTGTGCCACAGCAACTTATTTAAAAATTTAATTTTTAAAAACTTAAAAATTATCAATAGCTCACAGATTATGTACCTAAGAATAAGTCTAATAAAAGGTGTGCAAAGTATAAGATTTCTACAGAAAAAGTTACAAAACTGCCAGGCTCCTGTGGCTCACACCTGTAATCCTTGCTACTTTGGAGGCAGAGTTCAGGAAGATCGTGGTTCAAGGGGGTAGGGGAGAGATTGTTCATGAGATCCTATCTCAAAGATACTCAACACAAAAAAGGGCTGGCAGAGTGGCTCAAGTGGCAGAGTGCTTGCCTAGCAAGTGTGAGGCTCTGAGTTCAAACCCTACTACTACCATAGAAAAGGAAAAAAAGTATAAAACTTCCCTGGAGGACATTAAAAAAAAATTAAATGTTTCATGTTCATATCAGTTTCCTCAATTCAATGAATTAATGCAATTTCATTTATCCTAAGTAGACCCTGACATTCCCATTTAGAAGTGAAAAAATTTTTTAAGAATATAATTTCAAAAAAAGACTTGTCAGATAACAAGATTTATTACAGAGTTATGGTAAGTTTAACCATGTGCTAAGAGCAGAAGGGTAACACATCAGAGGAATGAATAGAATAAAAAGTCCAGAAATAGACCCACTTATAAAAATGGACCTGTGGTGTTTGATAGAGATGTCATAAACTAGTGGGGGAAGAGCACATTATTTATTCAACTGTGCTGAAACAATTGGCTTTCTAAATGTAGAAACTGATTAGAAACTTACCCCACACCAAATTAAAATAGATTCCATGTAGGCTAAGGATTTAGAAAATGCCTTTATGACAATAAGAAAGGGAACTATTTCTTAAATGCAAACCATAATTTATGCATTTGACATTACAATAAAAAATTCCTATGCGATGGAGTATAATCAAGACAGTAAAAAGAAACAAACCACAGTCTGATAGAAGATATGTGCAATGTTTCCAAATTGATATAAAAAATAAAGAACTCCACATCAATAACAAAAAGACACATAACTCAGTAGAAAATCAGGTAAATTGTTTGTTTTCTCCAGTGCTGCCATAACAAAACCACAGACTGTGTGGCTTAAACAACAGAAATTAACTTTCTCAAAGATCTAGAGACTATGAGCCCAGTATTAGCATGCCAGCAAGGTCACTTTCTCCTGAAGCTTCTCTGCTTAGCTTGCAGATGGCCACCTTCTTGGTGGGTCCCAACATGGCCTTTTTGTCTATGTGGATGCCTCCCCAGTGTTTCTTCCTCTTATGATGATGCCAGTCATTCTGGTTAGGACCTACCCCTCTGACCGCGTTTAAACCTAATTCTTTAAACATACCATCTCCAAATACAGTCATGTTCTGAAGTATTAGGGGTTACAGCTTCAGTATATGCATTTCTGAGGGACACAATTCAGCCCATAACAGTATATAACAGGCAAATCTCAGAAGAGGAAACCTATAAGGCTTTTATATACATAAAAAGAATGTACGTGAAAAAGATTAAAATAAAATACAATTTGACCCATATGTGTATGTGTACTTTTGTTTTTGTTTTGCTGTACTGGGGATTGAATCCAGTATGGCAAGCATACCACTTGAGTCATGCTTTTGTTTGTATTTATTTATTTTTGAAAAAGAGTCTTGCTAACTTTGCCTAGGCTGGTCTCAAACTCACAATCCTCCTACCTCTGCCTCTTGAGTAATTGGGATTACCAGCATGCACCACTGGTCCAGCTATAACATGCTATTTTTTTTTTTTAACCGTACTGGGGGACTGAACTCAGGGCTCTGAGATTGTTAGACAAAGCTCTACACTTGAGCCACACCTCCAGCCCTGTGGCAGTCGTTTGGGACTTCTTTCCCCCATGTAAAAAGTTTCTTTTTTTGTTTGAAATCCACACAATGAATAAGGTTGAAATAGTATGTAATTCCTAAAAGCTTTCAACAGTTATTTCTTAAATATAAATATGCCAGTTAGCACATAAACATATGGCTAACTCAGTCTTATTTCTTTTCTTCTCTTTCTAATGAGATACCAACATTGGAGATTACTCACAGAATGTGCAGATTCAGCCAATAAATACCAGCATTTCTTCTTTGAGACAATTTGAACCCATTTGCAAATTTCACTGGATAGAAGCATTTGGTGATGAAATGACAACGTTTCAAAACCTTGTGGAAGATGTTTCTTGCCCAGAGAAGTCAGAATTGCAAAACCATGGGTGTAATTATGCAAAAGAGACCAATATTATGCAAGATTCATTTAAGGAAGAAAATGCAATAGAAACTATTACTTCTACAAACAAAGACCAACTTGCTCATGAGTGTGTCAGACAATCTCCTAGAAGTCCATCTCTAACCTACTGCAATGGAGAGACACTGCAATTCACAGAAAACTCACTGGATAAAAATCCTCTCTTGGAATCTGCCCTCAAGCCTACTCAACCTCAAAGCATTTTAGATAAAGAAAGTATTCCCAGAAATGTTGAAAATGCATCTTATAGTGAGAATAGCTTTGCCCTGCTTGATCTGAGAGTTAATTATAAAACAGAAGCGGTAAGATTTTTGATAGTCAGTAAAGCCTTTGGAATATTAAAGGATAAGGATGTGGGGGTCTTTGTGGGGAGCTGTTAAAAACATATATATATATTCTATATGTATAATCTGAGACTTTTCCCAAGCAGAATTAAATCATTGAACAAGTACAAAGGACTTTGTTTCCTTGGGGAAAATGCAGTCTGGGATCTCATCTTTTTTTTTGTGGTACTGGGGCATGAACTTAGGACCTTTATCTTGAGTCACTCCACCAGCCCTATTTTGTGTGTGTGTGTGTGTGTGTGTGTGTGTCTGTGTGTGTCTGTGTGTGTGAAGGGTTTTTCAAGGTAGGGTCTTGCAGAACTATTTGCCTGGGCTGGCTTTGAACTGCGATCCTCCTGATTGCTGCCTCCTGAGTAGCTAGGATTACAGGCATGAGCCACCAGAGCCCAGTCTGGGATCTCATCTTAAATCTTAATTTTTTTTTTTTTTTTTGTGCTATGAGGTTTGAACTCAGGGCTTCAAGCTTGCAAAGCAGTGCTGTACCCATGAGCCACAACTATAGTCTATTTTGCTCTGGTTATTTTGGAGATGGGGTCTGGAATACAGTTTGCCTAGGCTGGCCTCAAACACCTGTCTTCCTGATCTCAACTTCCCAATTGTAGGTGTGAGCTCCTGCACTAGGCCATAATCTCAATTTTTCTAATTCAAGCCCACATTTGGGAATTAGCTTTACCAAATGATCATTTCTATGAGGAGCATTACTGTGTCTTACTCATCTTCTTATGCAACATAGCATCTATATGGGGCCTTGAATATAATCTGGTTTTGTATTTGTTGAGCCAAAATAGCTGGAACTCAGGTTTACGGTAAGGGAACAGTTGAAAAGATGAAGTTGTGCAGAGATGTTGATTGAACTATTTGACAAGACAATCTTAAGATTTTTCTATTTTGTTAGACTTCTGTGGACAAGAAAAAGATACTAACTTTTCTACCAAAGTGAAAAACATTCATCTGCCTTTGGATTTATTGATTCTGGGCACACATGTAAAATCCTAAAAGCACTGAAGATACTAACTGTATGAGTTCTACAGGCTCTAAACAAAAATAAAAAGCTCTAGCCAGCCACTGGTGGCTCACGTCTGTAATCCTGGCTACTTGGAAGGCAGAGATCAGGAAAATTGCAGTTTGAGGTCATCCCACGCACATAGTTCTCGAGACCCCATCTCCAAAATAACCAGAACAAAATGACCTGGAGTAGTGGCTTACGTGGTAGAGTACCTGCTTTGCAAGCTCAAAGCCCTGAGTTCAAACTCTAGTCCTACCAAAAGAAAAGAAAGAAAAAAAGCAAAAAAATAAAAAGCTCTAAAAATTGTTGTGGGCAAGTAGATATAATGTAAGTATAATATAAATAATCACCTTTTCAATGTGAGTTTGATAAGAAAAGGTATGATTATTATATTTCATTTCTAAGTATGAGCAGGGTTTTTGGTTCATTTATAGAAGTAGATGGAAGCATTTGAAAGAGAACTTCATTTATCCATGTTGATTACCCATGAAAACAACTTTTAAGAAATCTGCTCAATTAAAATTTCTCAAGATTGCTCCTTCCTCTTTTTGTTGCGTTTACTCATTTTTTTTCAGTCAGTCACTAGATATTTTTGGGCATCTGTTATGTAACAGGCTCCTTACTTTATGTTGATTACATAATGGTTAAAAGCACAAAAAAAGTTATGTTTCTTGTCCTCATGAAAATACCATTCTAGTAGAGTAGATAGGCATTAACCAAATAATCCCACAAATAATTGTACACATGCATGGATGATAAGAGCTGAAGGATGGTCATCTATGCCCAGGATACTCCCCTGGTCAAGAGTCTGGGGAGGTTTCCCTGAAGAAGTGGTTATTGAGCAGAGCTCTAAAGGATGAGTTGTTCATTAGGCAATTATGGAAGGGAAAGCTTTTCATGCACAAAGAATAGCATCTATGGATCCCCTGTGCCTGCAGTGAGCATGGTACCTGCTAGGACTATAAGGAAGCCCAGTGTCTAGGAAACTCAGGGTTGCAGGGAACAGAAGGGATGTAGTTGAGGGTGGAGAGGTGGCATGGGGTCAGATAGCAAGGCAATGAGGCCTTATTGGAGGCCTTAATAAGAAAGTTGTCTTTATCCCAGAGCAATGAAAAGCCACTAAAAATGCAAAGGTCCAATATATCTGAATTGGTCTAATACCCCCCTACCTCTTCCTGGTTTTTAAATGTCATATCCATTTCAGTATTTCATACCACAATTAATGTTCTTTGATAACCGCCCCCCCAAGAAACCCTGTATTATGGTCATAAAATAATTCATGAGATATGTCTGTCTGCCATTCTGATGTTCATGTGAGTCATAGCATATAGTGAGGTACTAGTCTAAGTGAGGAATTCTTAGAAGTCTTTATTCAAAAGAGACATTGCAATCTGTAGGATAATGGCTATATTTATTTGTTTTAATGGATTCATAGTCAAGAAAGCGTATGTGTTCAAAAAAGTTTATATCATAAAAATGGTGAGAGTTTCAAATATTTTTCTTTTGTCAAAGTAAATACGTATGTCTATCATCTACTTACTACTTGTGTTCTGCTATATTATTAGGAGCTATACATATATTCAGCAACTAGTAATTATTAACTTTGTTAAGTAGGTATTATTGAAAGTAGGTAGTATTATTGTTATTTTGTAACTGAAGAAACTAGATATAAAATTAAAGGCCAGCTCTATCTGTCTCCAAAGCTTCTGATCTCTCTGCTCTTTCATATTTATTTTACTTACCATAATTTATAGATTGAAGTGTCTTCAAAAGAAATACAGAATTCCAGAGAAATTCCTCAGATGTCAGTCAATCACCAGGAGGAAGTCATAGAAGAGGGTGTGGAAAGCCTAGAGATTGCCTCAACTTGGTCTCCAGCAGCCGTCTCCAGGAGTAGAGGAGCATCTCAGAATTGCATGCTGCCTGACATGGGGCAAAGCCTTGAAAGTTTACCTCTGGAAGAGGACATGGCTTTAAACGAAGTCTTACAGAAATTAAAGCATACTAACAGAAAGCAGCAAATGCAGATCCAAGACCTCCAGTGTAGGAATGTGCATTTGGAGAAGAAGATTAAAGAACTACAGGTGAAGATCACCAAAAAGCACGTGTTTGTTGACATCATAAATAAACTAAAGGAGAATATTGAAGAATTAATTGAAGACAAATATAACATAATCCTAGAAAAGAATGGTATTAACAAGAAATTGCAGAATTTGCAAGAGATTTTAGCTAATGCCCATAAACACCATCAGGAATCCAGGAAAGAAAAGGAAACCTTACAGATCCAACTTAAAAAGCTCAAGGTCAATTGCATTCGTTTACAGGAAAGGTACATTACTGAAATGCAACAAAAAACCATATCTGTAAATCAGTGTATAGAGATGGACAAAACTTTGTGCAAGAAAGAAGAAGAGATAGAAAGGCTGCAGCAACTCAAAGAAGAATTGGAGACGGCCACCACCTCTGCTTTGGACTTGTTGAAAAGAGAAAAAGAGGCCCGGAACAAGAGTTCTTGTCTTTACAGGAGGAATTTCAGAAACATGAAAAGGAAAACTTGAAAGAAAGACGGAAATTGAAATCAAAAGTTGAGAAATTGATCGCTCAAGTTAAAAATTTGTTACTCACATGTGAAAATGAAAGGGCTAAGAATACAAAACTTCAGCAGCAGATAGACGAAGTGAAAAATGAAAATGCAGAACTTCAGCATCAGCATCAGGTTGTAAGGAATGAGGAGCAAAATTGTGTCCCTAAGTTTGAGATATCTCAGTTTAAGGAGCAATTAGAGGAAGTAATGGAGCCATATGTTACCAAGGTATTGATGTAAATTTGATTTTTTTAGGAAGTGGGACTGCGGTTTGAACTCAGGGCTTGATGCTTGCAAAGCAGGTACTCTACCACCAGTCTATTTTCTTTGGAAAAAAATTCTTTTTTTTGCGGTACTGGGTTTTGAACTCAGGGCCTCACGCTTGCTAGGCAGGTGCTGTACCAGTTGAGCCACTCTGCCAGCTAATTGTTGGGCCTTGGAAAAAAAAATTTTTTTTTGGTACTGGCCACTAGTCCATTTTCCTCTAGTTATTCTGGAGATGAGACCTTGTGAACCATTTGCCCTGGCTTGCCTGTAATCTCAAACCTCCTAAGTAACTAGGATTACAGGTGTGAACCACCAGTGCCTTGTTTAAGATTCTTAATCTTTAATAAAATTCCAAAGTTTCCAGTAGTCTGACATGGCACTCACATATACTTGTTTGTAGACAGAATTGTCAACCAAAACAGAAACAGAAAGGAAAATGTACCACAGATTTGGAGAAGTTTCTTTTGTTCATGGGCACTCTATAGATTAATAATTCTTTTTTCTTTTTTTTTTTGATTTTTTTTTACATTGACATGAATTTTAGGATTGGTTTTTCTAGTTCTATAGAGAATGTCATTGAAATTTTGGTGAGGATGGCATAGAATCGATAGATTGCTTTTAGTAATATGACCAGTTTCACACTATTAATTATGCCTATAGGTAAACATGGGAAGTCCTTCATATAATAGTAGATCAGTAATTCTTGACTGCTTGTGATTCTTTTGGTTGAGTTGACAATTAACCTGAGAATTCTGTGGATTACCCATGCCCAATCCTCTGAAGCATCTCGCAGAGTTACCTATGAGAAAGGATTTTCTAAATGTACCTCTCAACCTTATTTAGTAATAAACTAAATGATAATTGCATATTTGATTTGCAAGGTAAAGCAAAACTCTGTTGTAGCATATGTTAGTTTTGTAAATTATAAAGCATCAGGACCTCATCTCAGTATGTTTGAAGAGGTTGCAGCTTTTTAATATCTGTAGTTCAGAAGAATTGTTTTGCAACCAAGAACCTGAAAGTGCCTTCAGAAAGGGATAATTTTCATAAGCCAGCACTTACCTATTTTGTAGACATTCCTGATAGTATATGAATATAACTAAGTATAGTAAAATCTTATTAATTCTGACAACTTAGAAAGGTAATCTGAATGAGAAAAATGTACAAGTTTGTTTTCATACATTTGTTACAATAACTAGAACTGAACTGACAGGTTGCCTTGAAATGTCCTTAGTGGAGTCTCATGATTCTATAATCAGAGTAAGAATTGTTTGCAAGTAAATAATTATATTTTAATGATTCTTTGGAAAGAATGGAACATTATTCCATGTTTTAAAAATTCTAAGATCTGTCAGGTTTGCTGGTACACACTGTGATCCCCAGCACTCAGGAGGTTGAGACAGGAGGATTGCGATTTCAAGGTCCACCTCAGCTACATGAGACACTGTCTCCAAAAAAAAAAAAAAAAAAACCAAAAATCTAAGATCTCGCTAAGTATTATCTAATGCAGTGATTCTCAAACTTAGAGTACATCAGCATGACCTGGAGGGCTTATTAACTGGGTACAGAATACTGGACTCTACCACAGAGTTTCCATTCAGTAGGTTTGAGATGGGACTTGAAAACATGCACTTTTAGCAAGATCCTAGGTCTTGTTGATGCTGCTAGTTCAGGGGCCACCCTTTGAGAATCACTGATTTTAGTAGAGATGTCCTTAAGTTTAGCTCCTAACCAAATCATGATAACTTTTGAATTGGTAAGCTCTGAATAAATTAGTTTATAGAGGTTTAACATGGCACATATTTTTCTTTTTTTTTTCTGTGTACATTTCTTTTTTTTATTTTATTTTATTATTCATATGTGCATACAAGGCTTGCGTCATTTCTCCCCCCTGCCCCCACCCCCTCCCTTACCACCCACTCTGCCCCCTCCCTCTCCCCCACACCCCCTCAATACCCAGCAGAAACTATTTTGCCCTTATTTCTAATTTTGTTGTAGAGAGAGTATAAGCAATAATAGGAAGGACCAAGGGTTTTTGCTGGTTGAGATAAGGATAGCTATACAGGGAGTTGACTCACATTAATTTCCTGTGCGTGTGTGTTACCTTCTAGGTTAATTCTTTTTGATCTAACCTTTTCTCTAGTTCCTGGTCCCCTTTTCCTATTGGCCTCAGTTGCTTTTAAGGTATCTGCTTTAGTTTCTCTGCATTAAAGGCAACAAATGCTAGCTAATTTTTTAGGTGTCTTACCTATCCTCACCCCTCCCTTGTGTGCTCTCGCTTTTATCATGTGCTCAAAGACCAATCCCATTGTTGTGTTTGCCCTTGATCTAATGTCCACATATGAGGGAGAACATATGATTTTTGGTCTTTTGGGCCAGGCTAACCTCATTCAGAATGATGTTCTCCAATTCCATCCATTTACCAGCGAATGATAACATTTCGTTCTTCTTCATGGCTGCATAGAATTCCATTGTGTATAGAAACCACATTTTCTTAATCCATTCGTCAGTGGTGGGGCATCTTGGCTGTTTCCATAACTTGACTATTGTGAATAGAACATATTTTTTCTTCAGCATTCTTTTGAAAAAGTGAAGTTCCTTGGTTTATCTTGACTAAAGAATTTAATATCCCCAAATTAATATTCATCTTTTAGTTGTGCTTTTCACTTACTCTAGGTCCATTTTCTCAAACTATGATTTGAAAATATCTGAAGCTAAAAGTATTTCCATAATAATACAAGATTATTGCCACTGAGTGTGGTGGCACACTCCTGCCATCCCAGCTGTTTGTGAGGCTGAGGCAGGAGAATTGTAAGTTTGAGGCCAACCTAGACAACTTAATGAGACCCTATCTCAAAATAAAATTTATAAAATTTATACACTGGGGTTCAGTGTAGAGCACTTGCCCACCATGTGTGAGGTCCTGAGTTTGATTCCCAGTACTAAAAAAAAGAAAGGCATTTTGCCTTTTCCATACTCAATTTTTTGGAAGAGTAGAGTTAAGCTGGGTGCTAGTGGCTCACACCTGTAATCCTAGCTACTCAGTAGGTAGAAATCAGGAGGATCGTGGTTTGAAGCCAGCCCCAGGCAAATAGTTGGCAAGACCCTACCTCGAAAAAAGCCATCACAAAAAAGGGCTGGTAGAGTGGCTCAAGGTGTACTCCCTGAGTTCAAACCCTAGTACCACAAAAAACAAAAAGCAAACCCCCAAAAAATAACAGTACAGTTGAGTTTTCCAGAAGCTATGTAGCTATGTGACGTGGTGATGTAATTTAATTGCCCTCATGACTGATGAAATTTGTGAGGCAAATAATGAGAATCTAGCTGTTTTCATAAATGCAGCATTAAAAATACTTATAAAAATGGGCTTAGGTCAGTGATAGAGTGCTTGCTTATCATACACAAGGCATTGGGTTCCATCCCAACCACTATAAAAACAAAATGCAAAAATATAAACAATGCTATTATTTTCATTTATTTATTCTGGAAAAGTTAATTTTAATTAAAATTTTATTTATGTTGACACATAATGGATTTGTTTTTAGCTATTTGAATTAGTAAACAAATATTCTCAGTTATAATTCTTAATACAGTAAACACTGATAGCTGTAATCTCCATGAACAAAAAGTTTTTAGGGTCCTCAATAATTTTTAAGAGGGAAAAAGTTTGAGAATCACTGCTCAAAGTTTCAGAGTGGTATTTTATTTAGCGCTGTACTTAAAATGCTTTTGTTGTGACAAGTCTGAATTGTATACATGTAGGGTACAAAGAGGATGCATTCTAATTTGCTCCTGAATTGCTCACCTTGTGAAGAAAACAGCTTGAGTCCTCCTGCTGTGAAGAAAACTCAGCTGACCTCCAGAATTCAGAGTCTTCTGGCTCTGGTGGTAGGACTTCTTACATGTCAGGTAATTTTTAAAAATCTGATACTTTAGTAGAGGTGGGAATAAATATTGGGGTTGGACTAAACTGAGAGAGACAATAAAATATGACAGAATTAAGTTACAGAAGTAAAAAAGTAGAAGACAAAATACAGGCCTCTAAACCAGCCAGTCAGTTCTTCCTTTCTCCTGCTGCTGCTTACTGTTCATCTTTCTTCAACATCCAATTCCCACAAGTCTACAGTAAGATAAAATACAATAAGTGAATAGTATGGCAAGGTATAAAAGTGAAGAGATCAACATCAAGTGAGCTCCTTCATGTAGTACTTTTGTATTTCAGAGCAAATGTCTTATATTCTGGGTCAGTCTGCTCCTGGTGATTAGTGATTATTCACACACACAGACACACACACATTTTTTTTTTTTTTTACAATAGTAGGGACTGAACCCAAGACCTGCACATTCTAGGCAAGTGCTCTGCCACTTCAGCTACTCTTTTGTTTTGTATTTTGTTTTTGTTTTTTGAGACAGGATCTTGATAACTTTGCCCTGACTGATCTTAAACTGGAGATCCTCTTGCCTCTGTCTCCTGAGTAACTAGACTTCCAGGCATGTGCTGCTGTGTCTGACTGGATTATTAATGACTGGATCATATTAATGAGCTATTTACTTAATCTAAAAAAATAGTTTTGGGACAGTGGGAGCAGTATACATTACTAGAATGAAAAATTAAACCCTGCATGAATTTCAGAAGTTGAGGCAGGAGGATCATGAGTTCCGTTTCTTCAGAAAACGGAAAAAAAAGAAAAAGAAAAAGTGAGAGAAAAATAAAGTGTCGGATGAGACGAGTTCAAATTCTGACTTCATCACTTTCTGACTGTATGACTTGGCCAAATAACTTTATTTTTCTCAGCCTTAGTTTCCTTGTCTTAAATAAGGAAATGATATTTGCTGCTTGCTGTACTACATTTAATGAGAAAACATATGAAAGGGTATGTACCTAATGGATTTTCAAATTAACTCACTCTTTCCCTTCTATTAATGAATATTTCATACATCTTAAGTACAGTAAGTCCAAGCTGAAATTTGGGGGCATAGTTTTGCCATGTTCCTGATTCAAGACAAATTCTATTTCTATTTTGTTTAGCTAAAAAAGTTATTCAACACTGTTATGTGCTGGGTACTAAAAACCAGGCTAAGCATTTCAGAGATCACAAACTCGTAGCTTCATTTTTAAATATTTGAAATTAAATATGGCACAGAGTCTTCTTCGTTGCACACTTTTTCACACCCTCCCCCTCTTCCAGCATTTGCTTGTTTGCTTGGGTTTCTCCTGTCTCATGATAACTGCTCTTCAAAGTCTTATTTACTCACTAATGCTTCTTTACCAGACTTTTTTTTTGGAAGGGAGCAGACAGTAATAGGATTTAAACTCAGGACCTCATGTTTGCTAGACAGGCACTGACCTACTTAAGCCACATCCCTACTCCTTTTTCTTTAGATATTTTTTGAATAGAGTTTCACATTTTTGCTCAGGGCTCATGTGGACCACCATCCTCCTATTTATACCTCTTGCACAGCTGAGATGACAGGCGTATGCCACCATACCCAACTTATTGGTTGAGATGGGATCTTACTAACTTTTTGTCCCAGCTATTCTCAAACCTCTGTCCGCCCAGTCTCTGCCTCCTGAGTAGCTGGGATTACAGGTATGAGCCACCTCCCAAACAAATGTTATCTGTTTGCCTATTCGGTATCTCCCACTATAAATATGACTTTCAATATCAGAGACTTAGTATGTTGTATGTCTAGTTGCTAATAAAGAGTTAAGATCATGATGGTCTCAGCAAGCATTTTCTTAATTCCTGACCTATCCTTGGAGGCATTTACATCTATTGTCCCTGATATTTATGAATTAGCTCATTCAGTCCTTAACCCATTCTTTATCTTATTAAGCTTTTTTATTTAACTCAAGAAAGAAAAGCAAACCTTAGAATGGTTAGGCTTCTTGTCCAAAGTCTCATATATGGTTAAGTGACAACTCAAATGTAAGCCCTTGCAGTTTTGACCGCCAGGTTATATTGGTATAATTTACTTCATTCTGGTACATTTGAAATAGCTAGAGTTTTAGTAGTCTTGAGGATGTCTAATTATTCTGGTGTCATATATAGCAGTTTTTCCAAAATTTGGATTTGTAAATGACTAGGCTACATGTGAATTCATACGCATGCATAGTTATTATATGTGGGTATTATCATCTTGACAGTTAAACTAATCTGTCCCAATAACAACTTATGTACAAGCGTGAATCTATATGAGATCTTTCTTTAACATGTGAATCCATATGAGATCTTTTCTTGACATCTTTAGGAGATGTCGAGGGTATTTAAAGAATGGAGTTCAATACGACTTTATCTCCTTCGGTTTGGCCACTTATTTCAGAGGGGAGGTTGTTTCATTTGCATTTTAGCTTTATGGAAAATCTTTTAATCTAACTTCTCAAACTGTTGCTCTTAGGACATCACCAATTGCGATGCTGAACATTTCAAAGAAAGTGAAAAAGCTAGTGACATAATGCTGCAAAAATTGAAGAGTTTTCAGCTTAGGAAGAAAGATTTAGATAAAGAGGTACTATATTCTTTATTCTAAAAATTCTATCAATTTAGTTTAAATATATAAAGTGTGACAGAGAAGTCACTCCTACAACTTGGATTCATTTAAGAATTGTTTTGGGGAACCAGATTTGCTTTACTATGCCCCTTGCTAAGTAGGTATATTTCCAATATTTGGGTCATTTTATAATTTACATTTATGTTGGAAATTCTCATATACCTTCTAAAGAAATGGTATGACTATTTTTTCACTTTTGCATGGCACATAATCTTGGAATAATAGAAGCATTGAGGACAAAGAATTTTATTTCTCAGAAGAACAGTAAGAGCATAAATTCCTGTAACAGTGTGGCCAAATATCTGTCATAAACAACTTAAAGGGAGGAACTATTTATTTTGGCTCACAGTTTCAGAGGGTTCAGTCCATTGTCACTTGTGTTTCTGGGCCCATGGTGAGGTAGAATATTATGGCAATGGGAGCATGTGGATGAAGAGGCTGCTTACCTCATGGCAGCCAGAAAGAAAGGGAGGAGAATACAGTAAGGACTAGGGCAAGATATAGCCTCTCCAGGACATAGAAGAAGGTCACTAGGGAGTGACATCCTCCAAATAGGCTCCACCTCTGATCTTTCTTTTATAATCTCTTAATAATGCCTTCATATGATAAATCCATCAATGGATTAATCCATTCATTAGATTAGAGCCCTCGTGAGCTAATCATCTCTGGAAATGCCCTCACATACACCTGTAGAGATGTGCTTTACTGCTCTCCTAGGCATTTCTCAATCTAATCAAGTTGACAATTAAGATTAATCTTCATAGTGAACTTTTCTTCTCTCTCCCCCTCCCTCTCCTTCTTTCCCTCCCTCCCTTCTTCCCTCTTCCTTCTCTCTCTCTGTCTCTCTTTCTGGCAGTACAGGAAACTGAACTCAGGGCCTCAGGCTTGCTAGACAGGCACCCTACCACTTGAACCACTCTACCACCCTAAAGCTTATTTAATTACTCTTTTTGATGTGATGTAGAGATGAGGATAAAATTAAGAGATCAAATTAAATAGGAAAGGTGATAACAGGATGTTAAATTGTGCCATTTTTCATCTGAGAGAAATACAGATATGACAACTTTATCTGGCCAAGGGAATAAAATACTGAAGTCTAGAATCTTGGATACTAACAAGATTAATTTTGGACTGCTTCTCTGAACTGATGTGGATAGAAAAGATGTTGCAGGTATTCTGGGGAATCTCTTGTTTTCTAGTTAGCCTGTAGATGAAAGCATCAAGGAATAAGCATAGCCATCCACAAGAACTCTGGCCTCTTGTATAACCCACCCCTTCAAACATAAACCCGAATGAGGATGTTACAAAAATAGAATTTCCTTTGGTTAATTTCTGTGTAATTTCTGAAATACTGACAAATGGCATGACATAATATCTGCAGTTTGGTTCAGTGAAGGGGGAAGGAAGGGGAGGAAATGAGAAGACAGTGATTGGGGATTTAAATGATACAAGGTTGACCATTAGTTGTTTTGTGTGTGTGCATATGTGTGTGTGTGTGTGTGTGTGTGTGTGTGTGGACAGTTTTTATTATTTTTAGTATAGAAAACTCAACAGTGTACATTTAACCCAGGTTAGTGATGAGCTCTTTAGCCCTTATCTTTTCTAGCTCCACAATGACAGCCACAGATTTTTGGATACAGGATATTGCCTCATCATTGAAGACAGATCTGATCATATCTGCCTTTGTAGTTGGTCCTGATGGCTTCCACTAGTTTAGCCAGAATAGCTCTGTCTTCCCAGCTAATCTGTGTGAAGGCAACAGTGATACATGCATTTCTATGGGCTAGATGTCTAGTCTGAGAGTCCACTGGATGCAGTAGGGGACCACCATCCTGTCACACAGGACAAGCAGGAAGACAACCAGCTCAATGGATTACATGTCATGTGTAGTCACCAAGGTGGTGACAGTATTAACCACCGCTCAAACAATGGGTAGTCTTTTAGCGGGTATATCCCTTTGTCAGCAGCCTTCTTCTCAGCCTGGCCAATGGCCTCTGCTTCTCCTGAGGTGTCTGTACTTGAGGGCCAGCTTGAGCAGCTGGGTAATTGTTTGATGATGCAAGGCTAAGTGAGCTGATGAATCTCATGAGGCAACTTCAGGCACTTATAGAGCATTAGTCCTTTGCCTCTGCAACCAGATGTAGTGGAGCCATTTGACAAAGTGGGTGAGATTCCTTTCAGACCAGATGTCCTGTCCAGTACCAAAATTTTTAGACCTTCTCTCAAGTGGCAGATACTACTTTCTTTGTGTCCTGCTTCTTCACAACAGCATACACTGGGGCACCTTCTTCCTCTTGGCCTTCTTTCCTTTTGGTATCTTCTAAGGCTGGAAGAGAGAACCATTATCTGTTAATTGCTAGAGCTGACTGTTACTTAAATGGGGGCTTACTAAAGTTTTCTTGTCTATATTTTTTATTTTTGGTGGTACCGGGGTTTGATCTTAGGGCCTTTCACTTGCTAGGCAGGTGTTCTACCACTTGAACCATTCCGCCAGCCTCTATTTTTTTAAATATTGGAAATATTTCATAATAAAAACTCAAATATTTTGTGTAGCACACTATCTCACTGGTATTTGGAGAGTTTGAATATCAAACATTAAAATCTGTTATGCAAAAGGAACAAATAAGATGTAATTATGAATTACATCTCAACAAAATTGGCTTATTTTGGGAGGGGTGTTGGGCTACACCTCAACCTGGCTTTTTATTTTCCTTAAAGAAGAATTTTAGAGGTGGGCACCAGTGGCTCACACCTATAATCATAGCTACGCAGGAGGCAGAGATCAGGAGGATCACGATTCAAGGGCAGCCTGGGCAAATAGTTCGCCAGACCGTATCTTGAAAATATCCAACACAAAAAAGGGCTGAAGGAGTGGCTCAAGAGGTAGAGCATCTTTCTAGCAAGCACAAGGCCCTGAGTTCAAATCTCAATACTGCCAAAAGAAAGAAAAGAAAAAAAGAATTTTAGGCTAGGTATGTAGCTGAGTGGTAGACATAGGGTTGATTCCTAGCACAGCAAAATAAATAAATAAATAAAATAACATGAGTATAATAACAGCTGAATATTAGCATGAGCCCCGCAAGACCACTCCAGGTTTGATGATTTGTTAAGGACTTCATCCCCTCTACAGAGAGTTGTGACCACAGGTAGGAAGCATTGTCTACCAGAGAAACTCATTGAGATCCAGGGCTGTTCACCTAGGAGTCCTCTATGTAGCACATACCACAGTTCTGGCCTGAGAAAGCAAGTGCTCAGTTTAAACCACATGCATTGAACAAATAGGTTGGGCACAGTGAGCCATGCATAGCAGGGGATGATGGGAGCCCTCCTACAATCCCAGGTCCAAGAAGACTTGCTAGCAGGCCTTGCTAAGCATAGCACCCAGGCCTGCTGTGGGAGTTCTTTTCCTCAGGAGAGCTATAAAAAAACTGTGCCTTTTGGAGACCAGAGATTGGACTGTGTTTGGCTTGATAATTTTATCTTAAATTTTATAGAATGTAATTTTATTTCCTCTTCTCTTAAATACAACATGCTTTTATTTTCCTTAGCTACTGAAGCATAAAGACAGAATTACAATGCTTAGAGAATTAATTGCTAATGAAAAAGCATTTCAAGATCACATGTTTGAGGTGAGTCTAACGTTTGTTATGTATTGTCTTTAACATACAAAAATACAATTTCAGATGTTTATGCTCTTGGTAAATTTATTGAAGTCCTTTTAGTTCTAAGTACTCTTTAGTCCTTTGTACTACTGTGATTTGGGTCACACATCACTCAAATCATTTCTTTGATCTTTGAATCAATAAAGTATCTACTGTCAAATGTTATAAGGGAGCTATCAGTATTGAAAATGAGCACAAATGTATCTAATCTTAGGTCACAGATTTTGATTCAAATGAAGCCAAGAATGTCAGAGATGTACCTGTCTTACTGGCAGCCAAACTGGATAAGTACCACAATCTAAATGAGGAGCTTGATTTCTTGGTAAGAAAGACCTTTTGTTGCTTTGTTACCATCTTCATACCCACAGTATTTTATTAGCAAGTTTAAGAAATTATCAACCTTCAAGAAATTTGCTTACCAAGTGTCGTGGTCCATGCCTGTAATCCCAGTTGCTTGGGAAGCAGGTATCACTAGGATTGTGGTTTGAGGCCAGCCCAGGGAAAAGGTTAGCAAGACCCCATCTCAATAACCAAGCTAGTATGCATACTGGTGTATACTATCTGTAATCCCAGGTGTGTGGGAAGCATAGGTAGAAAGATTGTAGTGCAAGGCCAGTCCTTGGCAAAAAGCATGAGATCCTATCCAAAAAATTAACTAAAGCAAAAAAGGGCTGGGGGCCTGACTAAAGTGGCAAGCATGAGGCCCTGGGTTCAAACCCCAGTATCACCCTCTCCAAAATGCAGAAACCAAAAATACATGCTGTTTTTCATCATGGATAAAGTATATTTATATTATTGCATATACTGCCATAATAGTTGTGTACAATACCCATGATTGGGAAATAACTCTCATAGTCTACCTCAAGTGGCATGAGAAGATAAAAGCAGAGAATATAAGAAAAATACATTTAACTGGATGCCAGAGACACATGCCTGTAATCCTACCTACTCAGGAGGCAGAGGTCAGATAGATTGAGGTTCTAAGCCAGGCTGAGCACGAAAATACACAACACAGGGCTGGTGGAATGGCTCAAGTGGTAGAGCACCTGCCTAGCAAGTGTGAGGCCCTGAGTTCAAACCCCAGTACCACCACCAAAAAAAAAAAAAAAAAAAGAAAATGCCCAACACAAAAAAGGGCTGGTGGAGTGGCTCAAGTGGTAGAGGACCTGGGTTCAAACCCCAGTTCTGAGAAAAACAAAAACAACAACACAAAGATATATTGTAAACAAATATGTGTCATAGTGAATTCCCCTGTACAACTATTATATACTAATAAATTTAAAAAGAAAAGGTCTGAGAAGATGAAAAATCCTAACTACCTTGATTTTTGTCATTACAGGTTGTGTATGTATCAAATTGTCACACTGTAATGCATAAATATGTATAATTAAAGAAGGAGGAAGGAAGGAAAGAAGAGAGAGGAAGGAAAAAAGAAAAGGAAAGAAAAAAAGAGGAAGGAAGCAAGCAAGCTGTAATTTCTGCAGCAATTTTGCTTTACCACTGCATCTTGTAGAGTACTTCATTACAGACACATGTATATTTAAAATATTGCAACATTGAAAGTCATTAAATGAATGGGAAAACTTCTGTAGTTTTTCTTTTATTACTGCTTTGAAAATTAAAGAAACTTCTATGGGAACTTGAGAATAAACTTTCCTGATAATCCTAGGTGCCACTTTTAGAAACACAGTTTTATTTTTTTGCATGGTATGGGGATTGAATCCAGGACCTTGCACATACTAGGAAAGTGCTGTACCCCTGAGCTAGAAACAACTTTTTTAGTTAATTTTTTGAGGTACTGTCATTTGAACTCAGAGCTTCATGCTGTCTAGGTAGGTGCTCTAACACTTCAGCCATAGCCCCAGTCCTTTTTGCTCTGATTATTTGGAGATAGGGTCTTAGTTTTTTGGCCCAGGCCAGCCTGGATTGCAATCCCCCATCGCTGAGATGATAGGCATGTGCCCCCGATGTTTTTAACCATTGAGATGGGGTCTTGGAAACTTTTTTCCCTTGGATGACCTGAAACTGCGATCCTCCCAATCTCAGCCTTCCAAGTAGCTTGGAATGCAGGTATGCACCACTGTGCCCAGCTATTACAGATTGAGATGGGGGTCTTGGAAACTTTTTTGCCCAGATTGGCCTTGAACCACAGTTCTCCTGGTCTCAGCCTCCCAAGTAGCTAGGATTACATCTGTGAGCCATCAGCACTAGGCACAATTTTTAATTTTCATTGTTTTCTTGCTTAAAAACAAAACAGAAAAAGAACCATAGACCAGAACATGAACCACATTAAGCCAAATCTTACTAAAAAACCGAAAAACTGGAAGTCATTTATTGTCATTTATTCTGGGGTGAATGCCTCTCAGACTTGCACATGCACCATCAAGCACAACATCATGCTTTACTTCAGAGAGAATCAGATATGTCTGTGCACTGATTGTACAGGAAGAAAGTAGAGAAAACTGGGGGCTGATAAATAGTTATATGCACTAACAGGTGTTTAGTTATTTACAATGCTATTTCATAGTACAAAATATGAGGAAGGATAAAGCTCCATTATAATTCATGGTCATCTGTTCTATTCAGGCTCATAAGCAACTCATGATTCACCTGTGGGACAACTCAGTTTGAGAGACTATTGGACTGAAGTACAGCTTCTGGCCTCGTTTGTTCTTTATGCCCCACAGCATGCATGGTAGTTTCTAGGTTCCTTTGTTTCTCCACAGATTACAAAATTGGGAAGTCTTCTAGAGTCAAAAGAAGACCACTGCCAGAGACTCATTGAAGAGAATGACAAGTATCAAAGACATGTAGGCAGCTTAATAAATAAGGTACAGATTTTCTTACAGAAAAAAAATGCCTTTTGAAAACTATGCCAATACAAGTTATGGAAACAGCCAAGATGCCCCACCACTGACGAATGGATTAAGAAAATGTGGTTTCTATACACAATGGAATTCTATGCAGCCATGAAGAAGAACGAAATGTTATCATTCGCTGGTAAATGGATGGAATTGGAGAACATCATTCTGAGTGAGGTTAGCCTGGCTCAAAAGACCAAAAATCGTATGTTCTCCCTCATATGTGGACATTAGATCAAGGGCAAACACAACAAGGGGATTGGACTATGAGCACATGATAAAAGCGAGAGCACACAAGGGAGGGGTGAGGATAGGTAAGACACCTAAAAAACTAGCTAGCATTTGTTGCCCTTAATGCAGAGAAACTAAAGCAGATACCTTAAAGCAACTGAGGCCAATAGGAAAATGGGACCAGGAACTAGAGAAAAGGTTAGATTAAAAAGAATTAACCTAGAAGGTAACACCCACGCACAGGAAATCAATGTGAGTCAATGCCCTGTATAGCTATCCTTATCTCAACCAGCAAAACCCCTTGTTCCTTCCTATTATTGCTTATACTCTCTCTACAACAAAATTAGAGATAAGGGCAAAATAGTTTCTGCTGGGTATTGAGGGGGGGAGCGGGAGGGGGTGGAGTGGGTGGTAAGGAAGGGGGTGGGGGCAGGGGGGAGAAATAAACCAAGCCTTGTATGCACATATGAATAATAAAAGAAAAATGAAAAAAAAAATAACATAATTCTGGAGCTGAAAAGAATCAGAGGTAAACTTTTTACTTCATAATGGCATTTAAAATGCCCCAATCAGTTCTTTTGCCTGGAAGCTAACAAAGAGCATTGTGTGTGACTACTCATTCTGCTGTAGGCAATGTAAAGTCTTAGTTTTATTCCTTCACTTTCAGGGTAATCCTGCCAAATTAGTGTTGTAGTTTACTCTTTTAAAACTGCATTAACTTTAGCCACATAGACTACAATCCTTAGTTGATACACGTACCACTGTGTGGAAGACAACTGGGTTTTAGCGACTCACTAGAGTTGTCCATTTTTTGGCACTTTACTTTTTCTGTGTGATGAATAGGCATGTTATAATTCTATTGTTATGCATAGTCATAACCTTAAAATATAAGGAGAGTGTTTTATTTGTTGTAAAATTTTTGTTGATTGTAGTTAAATAATAGAACTTCAATTAAATAAAAATACTAGAATTTATTAAATACTAATTTGGCTTGTTTTACTCAAGGTAACATCATACGAAGAAATTATCAAATGTGCTGACCAAAGGCTTGAAATATCTCATTCTCAGATTGCATAGTAAGTTGATAAAACTTAACTTTTTATTTTGTGACTATTTGCTAATATTTTATATCATTCTCTGGCTTTTAAGTTCTTTTTCTCTGACTCCTAGAGAGAAAAAAAAGGAGAAATGTGTAGTTTCATAAACTCTCACCATTCTTCATTGATGTTGCTGGTATGCTCCATGTCTGGACTACTTGAACAGACTCAGACAGCCAGATTTTCATTTTCCACTCTCTGAGCTCTTTTTAATTTTAAGAAATGATGAAGGAATTAGTATGAAGCATTAACAAATTTTAGAGATGATAATAGTATTTAAGTAAAATAATTTTGCATTGCTTACCATTTATTTGTAAGTCAGGCATGGTGGTTCACACCTGTAATCCCAGAGTTAGGAGATTGAGGCAAGAGGATCATGAGTTTGAGGCCAGCCTGGGCTGCATAGCTAGGCCCTGTCTAAAAAAAAAGAACTTATCCATAAAACGTTATTAAATGAGGGTTGGCGGTTGGCGGTGCTCAATTTTTTTTTTAGTGGGACTGGGGTTTTGAACTCAGGACTCAAGCTTGCAAGGCAGGTACTCTACCACTTCAGCCACACCTCCAGTCCTGGTGGTGCTCAAGTGGTGGAGGAATTACCTAGCAAGAAGCCCTGAGTTCAAACTCTAGTACCACATCCCTCCGAAAGCCCTTAAGTGCACATCAAGTGATGCATGTTCATATTCAGCTCAAGTGCTGGATGAGCCTTCTCATCATAATGAGGTGCAGCCTCAAACACGCCAAAACTCATGTTTCTAGATACTGTGCTTTTCCTCCGATTCATTATCCTCCCTTCTAACATGCTTCCTCCTCTCCCTCCACAATTTCCCGTCCCTGGAGTCTACACATGGAAATTACAGCTCTCCAACCTTGAAAGTTCTCTGTAGGACTGCTTCGCCACAAGGTGAATGTGGTATTGGGCTGGGGGTAGAGCACCGCCTAGCAAGTGTGGGCCCTGAGTTCAAATCCTGGTACAACCAAAAAAAGAAGAAGAAAATGTGGGCATGGGTAGCTTTGAAAGTTTGTTTTTGTTTTTCAGAATGAATAATGATTTTTCATTTTTTTCAGATTAATGTGGGCAAGTTTTAAATGTGTAAGGAGAGTGAGAATGTTGTATACTCAAGAGAATTAACACTAGATTCCTCCTCTGCCAATGCTCCATAATCATCGGTTCATGAAATATCAAAATATTGATCAATATCAAGGCCATATTGCTTTACTCCAACTGTTCTATTTTTATTTTTTTGGCAGTTGTGGGGTTTGAATTCAGGCCTCTTGCACTTGTTAGGCAAGTGTTCTTCTAGCACTTGAGCCACACCCACAGTATTTTTTTGCTTCAATTATTGTTCCAGATAGGGTCTCACCTTTTACCTGGGGCGGGCCACTCACTGAGATCTTCTTACTTAGGTCTCTTGCATCACAGGTGTGATGGATCACAAGTGTGCACTATCACACCTGGCTTGTTTGTTGACATGGCAGTCTTGCTGACTTTTTGCTTGGGCTGGCCTTGAAGCTCAGTCCTCCCAATCTCTGCCAATCAAGTAGCTGGGATCACAGGTAAGAGCCACTACACTCAGTGCTCCAGATGGTTTTGTTTTGTTTTTTGTGGTACTGAGGTTTGGACTGAAGACTTTGCACTTGCTAGACAGGCAGTCTCCCACTTTGAACCAATCTGCCAGCCCCTTTTGCTTTGGTTAATTTTGAGATAGGGTATCACTTTATGCCTGAACTGTCCTGGACTATGATACTCATATTTGTGCTTCCCCTTGTAGCTGGGATTACAGGTAGGAGCCACCGGCTGAGCAGTTTTTCTTTTTTAATTGATGAGATGATTCATATGGAAATTGAAAGAATACACCAAAAGAACTCTGAGAAAAAAAGACACAGTGGGAGGGCAAAACTGATTGTAAGACTTTTTATGAAGCAATAATAATAAAAACTTTGTGGCATTTATATAAGAAAAAAAAACAAGATCAATGAAGCAGAATGTAGAGTCCAGTTATAAACCCACACATATACAAATGATTTTATTTTATTTTTTGATGGGACTGGAGTTTGAACTCAGGGCTTTGCACTTGCAAAGCAGACACTCTACCACTTGAGCCACACCTCTAGTCCATTTTGCCTGTGGTGCCCAGCAAAATTTAATTTCTGAGTGCCTGCCTAGAAAGCATAAGACCCTGATTCAAATGACAGTGCTGCAAAAAAAAAAAAAAAAGTTAATTTCTTTTTTTTGGTGGGACTGGAGTTTACACTCTGGGCTTTGAGCTTGCTAGCAGGTGCTCTACCACTTGAGCCACACCTCCAGTCTACAAATGATTTTTGTAAAGGTATAAAAGCAGTGAAGTGGAAAAAGGGTAGTCTTTCTAACAAATGATGCTTGAAATAACTAGCTTTTCATTTTCAAAAAAGTTAACTCATTCACACCATGTACCACACATAAATTAACTCAAAATGTGTAACAGACCTAAGTATAAACACTAATACTGCAACACTTCTAGAAGAATAGATATGACAACATTTCAATGACCTTAAGTAGGCAACAACTTCCTAGACAAGTCCCTAAAAGCATGATCTAGGACTGAGGGGGTGTGGCTGAAGTGGTCCAGTGCTTGCAAGCAATCTTGAGGCCCTGAATTAAATCTCCAATACCACAAAGAAGAAGAAAAGCCTGATCCATACAAGGAATTTTGATAAATCTGACTTTATCAGAATTAAAAACTTCTCTTCAAAAAATCCTGTTGTGACATTAAAAGAATGGATAGAACATATTTGCAAATCATATACATTTGATAAACTACTTTTATTCTGATATGAAGAACTCTCATGGTTCAATAGCATGAAAGCAGACAACCAATACAAATGCACAAAAACTTGAACAGATAATTCACCGAGAAGAAATATGGGTGACAAGCTGAGTGTGATAGTATGTACCTGTATCCCAACACTCAGGAAGCTGAGGTAGGAGGATTGTGAGTTTGAAGCTCACAAATAGTGAGCTTTTACAGTCTGAGCAAGACTGTAAAAACAGAAAGAAGGAAGGAAGGAAGATTTGAGTGGCAAATAAGCATTTGAAAAGACGCTCAACATCTCAATGCAAATTAAAAGCATAATTAATATTCACTAAACACCTATTAGTATGCCTGCAATTATGAAGGCTTACCATACCAACTGTCAGGAAGGATTCAATGAAAAATTATATAATACGGACCAACTGCTTTGGAAAACATTTTGGCAGCTTCTTAAGTTAAACATATACAACTATTTGATTCAGCCATTCCACCACTGCATATTGACTCAAGTGAAAAGAAAACATGTTTACACAAAGATTTATTATTATTTATTATATAATAGTTCAAAGTTGGAAGCACCCAGTTTTTTGTCACATGGATAAATTGTGGTATAGTGGTAGCAATTAAAAATAAATGAACCCTTTGGTATGTGCAACAATACAGATGAATCTCAAAATAATGAGGTTGGATGTAAGATCCCATTACATAAAATGCTAGATAATGTAATCTAACTTGTAGTGATAGAATGCAGATGAATGGTATCTCTGGTATCTCTCTTGCTAAAAGCCATAAAAAGTAAAGCAAGCTGACCAAATGCTGTGACCATCCTGTGACACTATCACAGGATTTTCCCATGGGAAAGTAGTTCACAGATGGATTTTGTTTTAACATCCAGGCTTACTCAAACAGAGGGATCCGTTCTCACTGTGCAAAAAATAAAGGAATATCTAAATGTCACTCTATATTTTGGTACTATCTACTTGTCTTTACCCCTGGAACCAATTGTATATATATATAATTGTGTATATACATATATATATGTATATACACATACATATAGTATAGATTAATTAGACTTTTGATTTATCTACTCTAATCCTCCAGTGAATCTATAAACTACTCATTTAGAAAAGCCTATTCCAGTCATAAAATTCAATTGTTTCTCCTTCTAGTTTAGAAGAAAGAAATAAACATTTGGAAGATTTAATTAGAACACCCAGAGAGAAAGCCAGGAAACCAAGGTAAACCTTCCTTTCTTTTTAAAAACAGTAATATCTTTAAAATACGTACAGTAAATAGTACTTTTTCTTTTTTGGTAGAACTGGGGTTTGAACTCAGGTCCTCTTGCACTTGCTGGGCAAGCATTCTATTACTTTTTGAGCTATCCCCCACCTCCGCCCACCCCAGTTCTTTTGCTTTTAATTTGTTTTTCAGATAGGATCTCCCACTTTTGCCCCAGCTGTCAACAGACAGATCCTCCTACCTCTACCTCCCAATTAGCTGGGACCACATACACGTGCCACAATGTCTACCTTGTTTTTGAGATTGAGTCTCACTTTTTCCCGGGCTGGCCTCGAACCCATCTCTGCCTTCCAAGTAGCTAGGATTACAGATGTATGCCATTATGCCGAGCCCCTAAATATAGTAGGGTCCTTGGTACCCATGAATATGGGATTCGAAGGAAAACTGCATAGAGGAAAAACTATAATGCTCCCAATACATAAAGCTCAGTACTGCATGGCAGTTGCTTGGTTTATTTTTCCCACTATCTTGCCCAGCTTCCACTAAAGACATGCCCCCTTTCAATGGATCTCACATTTTCCCTTTTTCACTTTAATATTAGGCACATTAACTTTTACCTTACTTTTGGGGCACCATTTGCTTTTTGGAAGGTTTATTTTCATAAAACTAAGGGCAGGGGAACACTCAGCAGATCACACAACTACTTAAACACAACTGACGATGGGGGACTGTCTGAGTGCTTCTCTGCATCAACTGAGTTATGTAATTTGTATGTGGGAATTCAAGTTTTTTGAACTTTCTTTTGATTTTTTTGTAGTACTGGAATTTGAATGCAGGACCTCACGCTTGCTAGGCAGGTGCTCTACTACTTGAGCTACTCTGCCAACTCTTTATTGTGTTGGATATTTTCAAGATAGGGTCTTGCAAACTATTTGCCTGAGCTGGCTTTGAACTGTGATCCTCCTGCTCTCTGCCTCCTGAGCAGCTAAGATTATAGGTGTGAGCCACTGACACTTGGCTTCTTTTGAATTTTTAAATTATATTTTTGACTGCACTTAGTCAAAATAGCATATAATAAGTCCACGAATAAGGCAGATTATTGTAGTACATTTAAAAAAACCTTTTTTCCTTATCACAATTTAAGATAAACAAGGTAAATTATGTAGAAGTGCTTGCCTAGCATAAAATAGTTGCTTTATGAAAGCTTTTTGTAAGTGTTGCATGGTGGTGCACACCTGCAATCTCAGCCTCTTAGAAGGTTGAAGCGGGGATCTTGAGTTTGAAGTTAGCCTGGGCAATTGAGTGACATCATGTCTCAAAAATGGGAGGGTATGACAGAGGAGCAGGAAGCTGAAAGAGAATGCTAGGTTCTTTGGGGCTGATGATGAGTGTCAAGTGATGACTGGAAGAGAAATGCATCAGCCAGGGTCGGTGGTCCCCCGCAATGGAGAGCTCCAAAGAGAGAGAATTTGCTTTAGTCCTTTGTCACACTGAGACAGACTTTTGAAGCCACCCAGCTAAGTAAAAAGCTGTCCTTTTGCCTCTTACAAGTGGAGAAGAAAGTAAGTTCAGGGAGAATGGAAACTGACCTTCTAAGGCAGGCAGGGGTGGCCACCAGCTAGAGGCCTGAGCTCACATAGCAAGAGAAGTCCTTCTTTTGAAAAATTGCATTAAATTCAAATGTATTTGTGTGTGTGTGTGTGTGTGTTGCTAGGAATTGAACCTAGCCTCACACATGCTGGGCATGTGCTCTATAAGCAATATTCTCAGCCCTTTAAATTGTTGTGTTTTTTTTTTTTTTGGCACTACTGGGGTTAGAACTCAGGACTTCACACTTGCTTGGTAGGCACTCTGTTGCTTGAGCTACGCCTCTGACCCATAAGCTGTTTTGATAGATGTGTACACTGTATAATGTTTAAAACAGGGTAAAATAATCATTTCTTAATTATGAAAACATTCAAAGTCCTTTCTTGTAACTTTTTGAAATATGTAGTACATTATCATTATCTATAGTTGCCCCACTGTACAACAATAGCACACCAGAACTTCTTAGTCCTGTCCAACTATAACCTAGTACCCATTGATCAACCTTTCCCCATCCCTCCCCAGCCTCAGGTAACCACGATTCTACTCCAAACTTCTACGAGAGCCACTTTTTTATATTCCATATTTGGTTGAGGTTGTGTGGTCCTTTGGTTTAAATTATCTATCATTTGGTGAGAATTTGTGATATGGTAGCCATAAGAGCATATCATATTAGGAAAAAAAGCATATTTAACAGAGCAGAGTGCATAGTTCAGTGGTAGATCACTTGCCTAGTATGCTTATGACTTGGTTTGATCTCCAGCACCATGAAAGAAACAAAATCATAGCTAACCTATCACTTTGCAAGCACTAGTTTAAATTTCTTCTAGGTTTTTTTTTTGAGGAAATAAATAAAAAGCAGAATTTTAATACAAAAAGAAATAAAGTTATTCACTTATAAACCTCCTATACATTTTGTTTCCCAATAGACATATTTTAAAAGCATGAACAGAGCATGAGGCAACCGTGTAGAGTTGTGAAATGGTAACAGAACTAAGACATTCATTTACAAAGAACAATATCACAGAATGCAAAAGATTCTGGCTAGATTTTTGTTTACTGATGCACATTGAGCTTCACCCTTTTTCTAAGTGCTGACTGACAAGGCAGATATGCAGACTAACATTTGATATTGATGAACATAAAGGGAAAAAATCAATGATATTTTCTGTAACCATTTCCTCATGTCACTTCCTTGCTAGACTGATGCTCACTTTTGATTTCCAGCATAATATGGATCCTCTAAGTTGTGGAGAGAAACTATGAAATTTTTTCTAGTATTGTTTAAAAATAATAACATTTGCATATAAATTTACATGTTCTACCAGTTGAGATATTTGTTTACTTTTACCTAGCCTATTTTCATATTGGTTTGTATAGATTTAGACTGCCTTGAAGGGAGGTGGTGTGGTGTGGGGAAGAAAAGCTCTTAGGGCCCTTTCCAGCTGATAAGGCCTCTTTTCTTTTCTTTCTTTTTTTTTTTTTGTGGCTTTAAATTGAAAACAGTGGTAGATGGAGAGAAATCCTATGAAACACAGACTTATTTCCTAGAGTGGAACATTGTACAGGATGGACAACCTTCTAATTAAGCTGGTTTTAGAGTGGCAGTTACACTCACAATGCTCTATGGCTTTTTTTGCCATAGAGCAGTATAGGTGATAAATCCATTTGTTAGGAAACTAGGCCCACTGCAGCCTTCAGCTACCACCATCTCTGAAGCCTCACATTGACCCACTGACTTCAGTACACTCAGCAGACAAACAAGCTTTAGATTTCCTCTGCATCATCTCAAAATTACCATGTTGCTTTGGTTAATTGCCTTTGGTAGTGGAAATGGTGAAGAGTTGGACTATAAAAGAGGATTTTAATAGTCTCAGATGTCTAATTTTTGCCTGTAGTTCAAATTCGATAGATTTTCAATTCACAGTCACAAACTTATCCTAAGTAAAAATCACTGTTAAATGGGATGAGACTATGGCTCAATGTTTATTTCTTTTGTTTTTTGATAGGAGTGGGGTTTGAACTCAGGATGTTGAGCTTGCAAAGCAGGTACTCTGCCACTTGAGCCACACCTCCAGCCCATTTTGCTCTGGTTATTTTGGAGATGGAATCTCATGTACTCTTTACTTGGACTGACCTAGGAAAATCCACCTGATCTCAGCCTCCCAAGTAGCTAGGATCCCAGGCCTGAGCCACCGGTGCCTGGCTGACTCAGTGAGGCTCAATGAGGATGAGCCACACAATACATGTTGAAAACTTTTTTCTTTAGCATCTCATAATTCTAAGGGACACTTTCTTCTTGAAAGTGAGGAGGGAAATTGCTGAATAATGGCATATTTTCAACAATCTTCTTGCCTCGCCTTCCTCAGGGCTTCATCGTGTTCACTGTGTTAATATCCTTCTCCCCATTTTTATGTTGTTTTCTTTCTCTTTTCCTGCAGATCAAGATTAGAAAATCAGTCAAAGTCCATGACTTTGGTAGGTCCTCTTGATGGTGATTTTAAAAAATGTTCTATTTCTATGTGAACTGGCAATAATACAAGATTAAATAGGCATCCCTGAAGTTACATTTCAGTAATGATCAGGTTAGCCTTCCTCCCCATCCTCAGATGTGGTCATCCTCTGCCACCTGTCATAACTTCATCCTGAATTGGAGCCCCTCCCTCTGAAACTTTTCTTGTTTGCATCCCATTAACTTCATTCCTACTGGCACTACTTCTTTTCAAGTCATTCTCATCTAATCCATTACAGTTACATCTTAGATGGTGTTTCTGCTTCCTGTTTTGCTCTCCTCCATTCCTTCCTCCACAGTGTATCAGGGTGATTTTTCAAAAGCAAAATATGATCATGTCCCTCCCCTAAATAAAGCCCTTCAGTTGTATCCAGTACACATCTAAGGTCCTCTATGAACTACCTCTCACCTTCCTATTCAATCTTATCATTCTCACCATACATACCAGCCTTATCTGACCACCTGCCCTTTTCTAAACATGCTATGCTATTTCTATGCCTTCTTTTATTGCCCATGCAGCTTCCTGTACCTGGTGCATTATTCCACAACTCCTTTTCTCTTGCTTACAAGTTTTCACCTCACACCCTCACAACCCCCTGCCAGCCCAAGTCCATCTCCTCTGTGAAGTCTTTCCTGCCCTGTCTTCCAGATGGAACTGACAGGCTTCCTCCCATGTGACCACACTCTACCCATTGACATAATAGTTCCTATAACATGGCATTATAGTTCCCTGCTTACATGTCCCTTGATTTGACTAGAACTCTTCAATGCAGGATTCATTCATACTCATTTTGGTATCCCCAAGCACTTATGCCATGATAGGCACTACATAGGAGTGAGCATTAGTTAGATTTGGGGTACAGGACCAAAGCTACACTTGTATTCTGAATAAAAGATACTGCTACCACTGTCCCTGCCCTGTCCTAAGCAAAAGGTATGTTTCATGAACACCATAGTCTATTTATGACACAGCTTTGTGAAAGAGGGGAATGATTGACATGTCTTCTATTGAGACCCAGGTTTCCTTTTCCTTCCTTCCTTCCTTCCTTTTTCGTTCTTTTGGTGATACTTGGATTTGAACTCAGACCCTTGCACTTGCTTGGCAGGTACTCTACCACTTGAGCCATGCCTACAACCCTTATTGCTTTAGGTGTTTCTCAAGCAGGGTCTCATATTTATGTCTGGGCCAGTGTAGACCACAGTCCTCTTATTTACACTCCCTGTGTAGTTGAGATGACAAGAATGCACCACTACACCAGCTTTTTATTGGTTGAGATGGGGTCTCATTTTTTTGCCCCAGTTGGCTTTGAACTTCAATTCTGATCTTAACTTCCTGAGTAGCTAAGATTACAGGCGTTAGCCACTGCAACCAACTCCAGCTTTTCTAATAGTTGAATTTCGAACACTATCATTTCTTAATTCTACAATACTGTGCTGGTAAATTTCTTCATGAATTATTCATATTCTTGCTTCTATTCGTTTTCTGCATTCTCTGCCATTGGCAACCAAACCAAGGAAAATGAAACTCAGCCAACCTTGTTTCTCCTTGTTAGTGGGAGAAAGGCTGAGACAAAGACAAAAGTGTTAATCTAGGCCAAGTGCCAGTGGCTTACACCTATAATCTTAGCTACTTTGGAGGCTGAGATTGGGAGGATCATGGTTCTAGGCCATCCTGGGCAAATGATTTGTGGAAATCCCCCTCTCCAAAATAACCAGAGCAAAATGGAGTGGAGGTGTGGCTCAATGGTAGAGCACCTGCTTTGTAAATTATATAGTCCTGAGTTCAAACCCCAATGCCATTTAAAAAAATATATATATATATACATATATATATATATGTATATATATATATATATATGTATACATATACACACAAAGATATAAATACACCCTGGGTGTTGTATTGTCTGTAGAGTTCATCTATGGGCTTTCTTTTCCTCTCTTTTTCCCTTTCTTTTTTGTTTTAAGACAGGGTCTTATGCGGCCCATGTTGGCCTGGAATTCACAATCCTCCTGCCTCAACTTCCTTAGTACTTAGTTCTGGAATTATAGTCATGAATTTCACATCAACTTTTTGTTTCCTCTATAAGATATCTTCTCTCCAGACAGACAGATACTTCCTACCAATAACTCTGAAATCCTTTGAACTTAAAATCCAAGTGAAAAGAGAACTAGTCCCTTAAGACCTAACCCAGTTTCTACTTTAAAATTGTTTGGAGGAATTGAAACAAAGGAGCCAGAGACAGCTGATTTTGTGAGCTGTACCAAGAAAATAAACAGATATATTATCTTTTTTTTTTTAATAAATCTCATAACCAGACTTTATTTTTAAAAAATATTAATATATTGCTATATTTAAATTCTATAGTCTACCTTTAAAATTTTAAATTCAATAAAAAATTTTGGCATGGTGGCTCACCTGTAATCCAAGTTACTTGGGAGGCAGAGATCAGGAGATTGGAGGTTTGTGACCAGACTAAGCAAAAAGTTAGCAAGACCCTATCTCAACCAATAAGCCAGTCTGGTGGTGTGCAGGAGGCTATATCTGGGAGGACAGTGATCTGAGGCTGGCCCCAAGCAAAAATGTGAGACCCTACCTGAAAAGTAAAGCAAAAAGGGCTGGTGGATTGGCTCAAGTGGTAGAGTGCCTGCCTAGCAAGCATGAGGCCTTGAGTTCAAACTCCCAGTGCTGTCTAAATAAATAAATAAATCCCAGAAGCAGAGTGAAGGTATAACTAGTGATCAAAATGTACCTTGAGTGGAAAGGAAGAAATTATTTTATTTCACTGATGTTAATGAGGTACAGGAGAGAAACACATGTAGAGTATATAACTGGTTCTGAAGGAAGTGCTAAATAAATAAAAGCTATTACTGTTGTTGCTCATGTTGAGGGATTCTATAAGACATGTTATGAATTTGGAAACAGAAAAATTTTTAATTTCTCTAATTCAAAAACTTGGAACACATGGTCAGGAGAACAGTTCACCAGGGCCTCACATCATGCCCCCCCCCCACACACACACCCAGTTGCTACCATAAGTCATAAGGTCCAGCATGTGGGTGGAATGGGCCCACAGGGCCTGGAAGGGTTCTGAACAGGTGAGGTGGAAGACAGAGGGGAGTCTCAGGCAGTGCTGGGTCAGCTGAGATTGGCATGCTCAGAAATTCAACTAACTCATTTTAAAGACAAAAGTAGAAACGTGTGTCTTAATGATAAAACATAAATGATTAAATTTGAAAGTTTAAAAACCCATAAAAAAGCAGGAACATAATTTATGACACGTTAAACCATGAGAAATTCAGTGGGAGTTGCAGCTATAGCAGTGTTTCCTTTCAGAAAAGTAAACATTGAAAGCTTTGAAGGGATTCAAATTATAAAAAGAAACATTTGTTACTATTGGTTTCATGGGGCCCTCTAGGAAACCTAAAATACTGAGGAGAAAAGTAACTGTTAAGAAAAGATAGCTAAGGCTGGAATCCACTCACAAATGGAATGAAGCAGGTGGAAAGGAAGCATTAACACAGGTTGTCTACAAATAGGGCTCTGTGCACAAATGCTGATTTAACATGTGTATTATAAGACATTTATGTTCTTTTATCTACAGGTTATCTCAAAATGAATGTGCCTCCCTTAGCACATGGCTCAAGGAGCAGAGTCTAAACCAGTTCTTTCAATAAACATTTAATGACATTCAATGAACTATACAACAGGTTCTGTTTTAGATGTCAAGTATACAATGAAAAATGAAGTGAAAAGCACAAGAAATGCCTGCTGTACTGAGATGATAGATAAGTGAATTCTTCTAGAACCACATATAGTGTAACCGTCCTAGATGCTGTAGAATCAGATGGGCAATGGTGCTGGGTCATGTAAGAAAACTTCAGGGAAGATTTCACAGAAATACTACCTGAACCACATCTTCAGCATTGACTACTTATTTCCAAGATAGAAGAGGAAAACCAGAGCACACTCAATTCATGGAGGCCTGAGATACCCCATTACTTTCTGCAGACCACAAGTAGCATACAACCCAAGTTCTTCAAAGGGCAATAGATAAGGAGCATTAGATGCCAAGCTGAGAAGTTGAAACTGGATCCCAATGAGCGGCTCTGAGGGATAAGCAGGGGAGTGAGGTGGTTGAGTGGGCATTTTTAAAAGATCACCCACTAGTGTGTGGGGTAGGCTGATGGAGGGTAACCGTACAATCACGAGTACTAGTGAAGCTCCAGGCAAGAAGACAGAGGCCAGGAACTAAAACAGTAGGGTGGACATAAAGAGGGAGAAGCTGTGTGTGGTGGTGTGTACCTGTTATCCCAGTGACAGTGGGAAGCATAAAACAGGAGGATCGATAGTCCAGGCTGGACTGGGCAAAAAGCAAGACCCTATCTCCAAAATAACCAGAGCAAAAAGGACTGAAGGTTTGGCTCAAGCAGTGGAGCACCTGACTAGCAAGTATGAAGCCCTGAGTTCAAACAACTATACCGCAAAAAAGAAAAAAGTGAGAGAGATGTGGTTGCGTGACTTCAGAGGTCAGATGAAAAGGACATGGTATTTGGTTAGTGCAGAGAAGGGTCCAGGAAGCTTAGCAGAGTCCTTGATGAATAGTCTTCACCTTAACAGAGGTAAAGATGATAGGGACAGTTGCTTTGTGGGAGAGGTGTGACTGGGACAACATCCATGTAGAGTAATAAGCAGTCTTATATATACAGAGAAGGCTGCAGTGGTTGGAAAGGGACTGAAGAAAAAGGAGAGAGCAGGGATAATTGATGAAACAAGGTCTCAAAGGAGAAAAGAAGGACTCAGTTTTACAGTACAGCCTAGGGATAGGTACACAACCTCCTCTGAGGCTGGAAGATTGGAAATCAGGACAGGTACTTTCCAGGCACTTGTGAGCTGTGATGGGGTAAATCAGGGGAGCCATGGCTCAAAGCTTCTCTCTCTTGTAGTAAGAGGCTCAGAGGAAAGCCACTGTTCCTGCATTCACAGAGGAAAGCTTTGGCTCTACTGCAGATT